TATGCATATTAGTGTGTAATACACATAATATATGTATATGTAGTTAGTTATATATTCGTGTATGAAATTGTATAAGTATAATAAAAAAATTAAAACGAATGGGTACTTTCAAATAAAAGCTTCTGATTTTTTTTATTCATTCTTTTTGTAAAGTTTTATTTCTGTGATAATAACTAGTTAAAGAAAATTCTTTATAGAGTTGATAAATTTATAAAATTTATTCCTATAACAATGTATATACATAGACAATAAATAAACATATATATTATTGCATATGCATATACAATATATACACATATAACTTGTACGCTTTCTAGAACATTTGTATATGTTTAGGTCTGTCCGAGAGAAATCGAAATTATTTTCGGAGAAATTTCGAATATAATTTGAAATGTTTGTATATTTTATACGTATACATATATACTTTAAGTACTCGTACATGCATAAGTACATACGCAATAAAATCCTTATACAACGAAAACTTAAAATCCTTTAAGTTTTTGTAATCGTTATTACTAAAACTGGCGGCGCCACTTTAGTTGTCTATCAAATTGGTGCTTTTCTGTTTTTTGTGACGATCTAAAATTTTAAAGTGTTATTTCGCTTTTAATATTATTTTTTGATTTTTAAATATTTTTTTAATTTATTAATCGAAAATATATTTCTAATAAATTTCTCTGTATAGAAACTCACAAGCCTTATCATTCATTGACTTGACAGTTTGTCTTTCATGTGTAGTAAAAGTTTTAACTAAATCTGTTCTAAGTGAACTCTCAAAATCTGCCAATTTTATCATTGTTGTCAATATAGTTTTACAATTTGAACTGACTTAGCAAAAACAACGTAAAATTTAAACTGGCGCTCTTTTAGTACTTTTTTAAGTTTACGCAGTTTACCTTTTTTAAGCTTTCCTGAAAGTATTGCACACTTTTTGAACCATTTTGCGCTCATAATCTACTATTAGTATATTTTGTTTGCATTTCTATGTGTCTTCCCATCTTTGTAAAATATATATATGTACATAAGTATGAAAATACATTTCCTAAAAGTGCCATACTTAAAATCATATAGCTTTTTATATAATTCACCTAAATTATATAAAAAGCTATATAATTTATATATATATATATATATAGATATATATATATATATATATATATATATATATATATATATATAATACGTATATAAGCGTATATACATATGTACAACAAGAAATTGTATAAAATAATATACATAGATTAGAATTAAAATCTTATCACTGTAATAAAAATCAAGGTCTGAACTAGACATTTACATTATATTTTTTTCGCTCTCATTTTTACCGACTGAATTGTGTATACAATAGGTAGGTTATGTGATGGCAACAAATTTTGCATATCGAGTTTTCGGTGGAAACGCACTTTTCCATGGTAGGGAAGTGTAAATAAACTATTTTTAGCAACCTGTCGGTCTGTGTGTGCACGCGTGTATCTCAAGTTCGGGTGAACCGATTTTGATGAAATTTTATATGTTTATTTCGAGTATGGCGCGGCACGGATTGATCGACTTTTGGGATATATTAGGCCTCGAGAACTGCACTTTGATTCAACTGATTTACTTGAAATTTCATATATAAGCTTCATTCGGCCGTTCGCGAAGCCTTCTAACTTTTGGATGGAATCAGATGTCAGCAACTGGATGTTTACTACGGGCCAAATATACATTTTTGCGTATATAAAGAAATATAAAGAACTATAATCAATCGATTTCCTTGAAATTCAAATTATTCGTATTAAAACAATAAACATATAAATTTTTTGGACAGATCAGAGCTCGGAAACCGATCTGAGGGCCGATTTTACATTTTTTACCATATCTATGAAGCGAATTGATGGATTTTCTTGAAATTTGATATCAGAGTTCTGGTTGTTACCGAAACTAACTGGCGAAACTAACTTCAAAGAATTCGCATAGCACAAGTCGAAACTCTACTAAGAGCAAAATTTACACACATTATAAAGAAATAATTAACTAGTTCTCTTTTACTTTTCAATATCGGGCAACTCTGGTTGTTAAAACAATGAAGCCGAACTTTAATTACTAGCCGATTTTTAATTGATTATGTTTTAATATGTATACTCCAGAAACTAGTAAACATAATATTTTTCTGCGTTTCTATTTGGGAACGCAATTTTTGCGGCAGGATATAAGAACACTTTCCCTGACATTCAAACAATAGACAAATCTGACTGTACACAGTTTAATTTTTTTGCAGTTTTATTGTAATTTAAATATGTACCTAATTTATTAATAATATAGTTATTTATATTATTTTAGCAATTAACAAATAAACGATAATATAAGTAAAATCTAATTAACCTGCAAACTTAAGTTATTTAGCATTTGAAATTAAACCGAATAACTTAAGTTAACTCGTTGAATTTACAATTATGTAAAAGTGCCTAGTTCATTTCAGTTAAAATTCACATAAAATTATGGTTTATTATGAAAGAAACATAAATCTATTTTTAATAAAAATGAAATGATTCACCGCTTGAGTTTGAGGGGTAACAAAATATTCGGTTATCTGAATTACGATTTGGATTAAATTCAGTATATTTATTTTCTCATCGGATTATTCGTATAAATTTCACTTCTACCCAACTATTTTTATGTTGGCTTACTTTAAATTTCGAATAAATAGCCCATAAAAATTCGACACATAGTTTTTATGCTTTTCATATATGAAAAATTTTGATTTTGTAATAAATAATTTTTTTTAGAGAATAATATTGATTTAATGATTTTAATACAAACAAAAAATTTTAAGTAGATATAGAAAAATAAATATACACAATATTTTAAGTAGATAAAAAAAAGAAAGAAAAATATACAAATATTCTATCAAACACCCAACCGAGTTAAACAAATGTCAATAATTTTGAAAGTTAAAAAAAAAACAAAAAAAATAAAAAGCACGATCACAAAACATAAAAACTTTAGTAAGCAGGTATGTAGAGCATATACATTTCAATGACTGGCGGGCGAGCAGGCAGGTGGGCATGCCGGCACATTCCATATTTAAAATATTCTTTTTAATATATTGACATTCATTTAACAACGTTTGATATTCCATATTGTATAACTCAATAGTTAAATAAAATTCTTGATTTTTCTGGGTATATTAACTATAAACTTACTAATGCCCTAAAAATTGGAAAGAAGTATTCAACAGGCATTTTTATAATATTCTGTGACACTTTCACTTAACAAGACAATAGACATTGCGGTCGGTTATGTGCTGACCACATCAGATTTTTTTCATAATATTTTGAGAAACATATTGAAGCTTTGCTTACTATGTACATACATTGTACTTACATATTATGTATACAGTCAGACCTGGTTAATTTCTAAACTAAAAACCAAGAAAAATTCTTGCAGCTAAGCGTTTTTCGCAGTAACTGGATAAATTTTTTTTTCAATTAAGAAGATCTCCTGATCATAGATTTGCAATAAAATTGTATTTAACAGGTGCGGATTTTAATTTTATGTTCTTAACTTATTACAATTAAATTACAGTGCAATTTAATTGAACTGTAATAATTTGTAGTTTTGTGCTTTATAATATAAAAATCTTCTATTTTTATCAATTGTTTTGAATGTGAATTATATCGTTATAAACGTGTTTAGAAAATCACAAATTTTTAAATTTTTTTTGCAATTTAACCGGTTGTATTTTTATGATTTTTTTATATTTTATACTAAAATATAATTTGCAATATGGGATTTTCAGCTGTGCATCTGAAACTATTTAAAAAAATCTTAAAAGTGTGAAAACATAAAATTTTTTACACTTTTAACCGGGGTTTGAATTTAGGCGGGTTCGATTGTACATAATAGGGCGGTTAAATTCACTTTTGATCAATTAAAAGTACAAACTTTGATTTTTTTTCGTTTTATAGTTGAAAGTTTTAAAATAACCAAATTTGTATAAATATACATATATGTGTATCAACAAAAAGCTTGTATGCATAATGATTATGTTATACATTTTAATATATTACAAAAATTTTTTTTACCTTCAAATATTGAGCGTTTACCTAAATGTAAGGCTAACGTTAACTTAAATTTAGGACAAAACAGTTCATCTGTTTAATAAATATATGGAGCAAAATAGATTTGAGTTTAGATTTGTACTCACTATTTCGACAATTATCCATATGACAATAACTTATAAACTTGTTATTAATTTTATTTAGTTACTTAAGCTTTCACTTAACCATTTATGTTTTTGAGAAAAGGAAATATACGTAATAGGAAAAAAATTAGCTTTATCTTTTTTTAAGTTATTCAATTTATACTGAAATCTTATTCAATTTATTTTGAAATCCTCTTCAATGCGTTGGAACTGGAATCTAATTTATATTTATTGTGAGAATATGTCAAAAAGATATTTTATTGCAATAATTTCTGTTAGCAAAAAACAGAAGGCAATTGTCAAAAATAAAAGCAACTTATGCTTTCAAAATGAAAAATATTTCCCTTCATATTATTTGCAAGGTAGTAATTTCTTATCATTTCAAGTTTTTTAGTATATATGCAGCGCATTCTAATTTTCTCTACACTTAAAAATAATATCTTTATTTTCCCTTGTAAAATAGTCCATGGTCAACTCTATCGGTTGTATGAGTGTGTCTGCGTATATACATATGTATGATTTATACATATTGAAATTAAATTTTGCCACGTTTTCATATACCCTAAAAAATAAGAACAAAAATAAAAGATAAAAAAAAAGCATATCCTTTAACAATAACAAAAATATGCAAAAGCTTAAAATTGTGTACATTTATTAGTTTTTTTAAAGAGTCTATTTGAAAGAATAAATTAGATACTGCTGGTTAAATAAACCGGAAAAAAAATCAAATTTATCAAAGTATAAAATTAAAAAAAAAAAAACCAAATATTTGTTTTAATCTATACAAAAATAAATAAAAAATATAAATAGTGCGAAATATACAAAAAATGTTTCTTTTTTGTGATATTTGTGTGGCAGGACCCACACATGATGTTTTTATGAGAAAAAAATAATAAAAAAATTGTTTCTTTTCTATTTGTTTTTTTTATTTTTTTTTCGTTTAAGTTCTTTAGTTGAATTAATAAGAAATATTTTTAATTGAAAATTAAAAAAAGAAATACATAATGTGTAAGGAGATTTTGTGTGTGTGCGTGTGTGTATATACCGTTTCTTAGCTAAGCATAAGCCATCTTTTGAAAGATAACCTAAACTTTTTAATTTACTGCAAAAAAAATAGGTATTTGATTCTCTGATTTTTATTTCTTTCATAAAAAACAAAATCTGTAAATGAGTTTTAAATTAAAAAAAAAATGTTAAAACAAAAATTGAATCAAAAAATGTCGATAAATATATTTTGTCAATAAACATAAACAAAAAATTTTATACAAATCTAACTATATATGAGATAAAGATTGAACAAAGTATAAAATATATTATTAAATGGATAATTGAATTGAAATTTTATTAGAAATGGGTTCATTTTGAAGATTTGATAAAAAAAAACTTAACGAAACCTTCGAGAAATTTAATTGCAGTTTAATTGAAAAAAAATATAACGATTTCGATTCGAACCAAATCAGAAACCAAAAAAAAAACCAATGATGTCATAAGCCGTATGCGCGTTTAGGTAATGCCCGAAGTTGATTGATATAGAATTTATTGTAAAGGAGAATATAAAACATTTTCTTTCGTGGAAGCGTCATCATGCCTAAAATTGAGTTTTTGGTCAAAATGTTTTTTGTAAACTTAGCAAAACATGGAAAACAGCGTAAAAAATTCCAATTCTGAAAAACTTCTCTAGCATTAAAAAACCTTAATTTTGAGGATATTTGTATAAAATGTAAAAATTTTAAAAATCTTATTTTGAAGTTTGCACAAAAAATATGACAAGCAAACCTTCATGTTAAAGCTAAATCTTCAATTTTGGCAGTTTTTCTCAGATAACATTCTTTTTCTTTTCTCTGCTTTCCTCGCCTATCTTCTCCTCTCTTCTCCTCTCCTCTCCTCTCCTCTCCTTTCCACTCCACTCCTCTCCTCTCCACTCCTCTCCACTCCTCTCCTCTCTTCATTGCAAATTTCTTCATCCCTTACTTTCAAATTTACATATTCACATTGGAGTTTTATTCTGAATATAATGATAATATTAATAATATTTCGTTAATGTTGTACTATATTACAGAATTCAGCTGCAAAATCGTACAGCGTTAACAAAATTTATATTAAAACCGTGTTACGATAAGCTTGTATTATTATTACATTTTTATCAGTTCAAAACGTTCAAGTTGAATATGTAGTATACCCATTTAAATTGCACTTTTAGGATGGTACAAAATGATACATAAAGCATAAAAATAACTTAATTAAATAAACAACAAATATTAGTGTTATAAACAAATTAAAATATCTGAAAACAAAACACAAAAAAACTATGGACTTAAAAATGTAGACTGATTAATTAAAATTCAAAAAAAAAAGAAAGGTTATTATAAAGAGAAATTAAAAATTTTTAAACTAAAAATTTTGGGGTTTTAACAATAGAAACGCAATTGCAAAACTTACAATTTAATTTTGGTTTCTGTTCTCATTTTGTTTTCTGTTTTTGTTTTCCCTTTTTTTGTAATTTAGAATGCAAATAATGTCAGTAAAGGTAATTTAATTTCGTTTAAACTTGATATTTCGACAAAATTTCATTTTTTATTTTTTATTAATTTGTTTTGCAGATGACTCGCTATAAGCAAGCTGATTTCGTTGATGAAGATACCAGTTCGATTGGGACCATACAATTAAATGAAACATCCGGATCTGGAATACAAGTTAGATATAAAACAAGAGTTAGTAACTATTTTAATATGCTTTTGCTTCCTTCTTTACTTTATCTTACAATTAATTCTCTTATTTAATACATAGGGAAATTCATTATGGAAATCACTTTCGAAATTGGAAAAAATATTGCTATCAACTTGTTTTACATTAACATTTTGTCTATTACTTGTAATCTTTGTACCAAGAACAAAAGATATTGATAGCACATTTTTAAACGTCCAAAATAGAGGTAAATTTGGTCTTCCTTTTCTTGTAGCGCTAGCAAAATAATAATTTTTTTTTTGTTTTAGTTTAATATATATACGATCATTTCAAAATTGCAATAATACTATTTTGATACACAATTCAGAAAAAAAAACACGTAAGCTGAATTTTGTATTAATACCAGACCACTGCAATTTTGAATATTGAAGTACATTTTCTAATTCCAAGTTGAAATTATGTCACAATTATGTCAAAAAAAAGTACTTTAAAATTTCGTTAACCCCTTAATCAATGAAATCAAAAGTTCAATATTGTATAAAAACGAAACCCTACAATATTGTTTCTATATTCAACATATCAAATATATATGATGAATTCCGCAATGTAGGTAATTGCAATATTGAATTTTTGATTTCACTCAGTATGGGAACACAATTAAGCAATTTATATTCATAATATGAATTTTACAGAAAGTGGTGTAACTGCGTAACTATATAATATATTCCATTTTAATGTAACAATTCAGAGTTGCTCTTGTTAAATTTTTAATTTTACACAATGAACACATTTTCTAATTAAAATGAAACAAATTTGAAAAAACGTTGAGGTTTTTAGAAGCATTGAAACAGTTTTAAAATTGTTGGAGCCATTTGGAAGACTTTCAAAATATTATACTTGTTGAACAATTCCATGAATAAGTTGAATCGACAAATATTAAAGTAAAAATAAAAAATCAACAATACCGCAATGACGATGATTTCTCTCAAACCTTTTTCAAAGCCTGAGGCCTAGCAAGATTGGTGTCCAAAATAAAAAAAATCGGCCAAGTGGGATTGATTTTCAAAAAATTATTCCAAAAAATGCTAGATTTTTGTTAACTTATTTTAACGCTAAACTTTCTAAAAGTATTATTAAATTTTGAACTATTGCAATCATAGTAAATTTTTACAACGGTACTTCATATTTTAGGCAGACTTCGCCTGCGACCAAAAAAGTCTTAAGGGGATTCTCGAAATGTTCTAAGCAAAAAGTTCTTTAGAACTCATTTCACTATACCTTGTCGAATTTCCTTGCTGCCAAGTCTTCAGTTTAGCTAGAACTAAATGAATTCTTCTTTCGGCATTCAAAATCTGGGAAAATTCACAAATTCAAAACAGGCTTATATTTGACCAAACAAATTACATAAAAAAATGGAACGAAACATAATATTCTGTGATTTAGCATTAAGTTAAATGTTTTTTATTTTAACTAAAATTAAGAACTCAAAAGATGAATTTATTTTAAGTTAGTAATATACCTTGCCTTCCAAAATGCATTAATACGGTATTAATAAATAATTCAGCCTGTAAGTATGAATAATTGCTGATTTATGCGTTAATATTAAATTATCAAGGATAGTTTAATTCCCATATTAAAGCTATATCATAAGTTATATCAGTAGTTAATGCATAAACTAAATAATTTACGAAAAATTTCAATTTGGAATTTATTAAATAATAATTAAAAAACAAAAATCATTAATAAAATTTTTTCTTTTTTTTTTTATATATTTTTAAGATCCATGTTTAACCGAACCTTGTATACATGCTGCCAGTTCTATTTTAAATTCAATAGACCGTAGCATAGATCCATGTGATGATTTTTATAGTTTTTCCTGGTAAATGAATTTTTCAAAAATTTTTCAAAATTTTCAAAAACTTCATGATGAAATCAAAAAAATATAATGCTGCTATTGTGTTTCAGAATTCAGTTTGCATAATTTGATATGTTATAAAATGCAACATATAAGCACAACACTGAATCACTGACATCCAAATCATAAGAACGCTGTATTTCTATACATACTTCAACTTACAACAATACTAATTGTTGAATTGTATAAGTAATGCAGTATTACCGCAATTTGGATGTTAGAAAATTTATGATTTTACTCCATGACATATCCATTATATATTATATTTGAACTAAATTACACATATACATACTTATATATATATTCATTGAAATCTTGAGCTGAAACATTTATTTTTCATTAAAAACTGAATTATTATACTAAATCACATATTCTTTTTAGCTGAATTACATTACATATACTGATCTTCACTTTTCATTACAAATTGATTTTTTTTTGCTGAATGATATACATATAAATTCTTAAACTAGAAACATATATACAAATAATTAAGTTCTTCCTAAAAAACTATATAAATTCTTGAGCTGAATAAATTGAGATCAATAAATTTTAATTTTTCATTATTAAGCTTTCATTTTTTACAACATTTATAAAATATACTACTAATTTCTTTATATCTAACATACTCGTATGATTAATGTCTTTATATAGATGTAAAGAAATTAATCAGTGGCATTTAAAGAAAAAAACAGAAACGAAGGCAAAAATTCGTAATATTTCGTAAAATAAATTGAGTATTGGGACTTGTTAGATATAAAGACATTAATACTACATATTTTTATATTTTTCTCCTATGTTATAATGTAAAATACTATAATCAATGTAACATAATTCCTATGTAATATACAGTAATCAATGGATAGCTAAAAATCCTTTACCAGATGGAAAATCAATTTGGGGTACATTTGGAAAGTTAGAGCAACAAAATCAAATAGTTATTAAAAATTATTTAGGTAAGAAGGTATAATCTAATTTTTTTTTAATAAATTCAAGTTCCTGAAATTCGAAAAATTTTTCCGAATTTTTTTTTTCAGCTCAGACACTTTTCTGGGATGTACAAGTTGAAAAATAATTATGTATTTTTGTTTAATAGTTAAGTTTCTAATCCTTTTCTTTATTCTATCAAAAATATAACTATGATTAAGATTTTACTTAACTTGTTCAAAATATAATATCTAGTAGCCACCTTTTAAATAACATTGAAACAATCAGTAATGACATTTGTGACAGAAATTTCACATTTCCAGCAACTGACAGTTTAAAAATATATTATAAAAAATTCCAAAATTTACAAATATTTTCTCCAGATATGGCGTTTGACAAGTATTTCCGTTTTTCATATAAAAATTGTGTTAGGGACAGCAGAATTATAATTTTTCTGGCAAACCAAATTTTATGGACAATGTCAAAAACAACTAATTTTGGTTACCCATATGCTTAATGAGAACGACAACTGCAACGTAATCATCTGATGTCGATGAAACAACGCTCAATGGGAAAGGTAAAACTCAATGAACTGTTTACAATAAGCATTTATTCAAAACGTCATCTCATCTCTGTTTTTGATTTTTTATAAATTGAAAAACAGCTTGACAAACAAATGTGTTCCAGTTCCACTATGTTCCGTATGTCAAATTTCCAACTACAACGACTAAATTAAAATTTCATTTAATTCAACGACACTGAAAATTTGTTTTTGTAATATACTACATATTACAAAAACTTATAAGGTTATCGTTCTTATTTAGCGTCGGGTTAACGATATTGTCCATCTCTGACAAGTTTTACTGTACTGTTTCATGAATTGTTGATTTCGGTCTAATGACAAATATTTTAATTTAACTTAAAAGTCATAATATAATGTTTTGTTATGAAAATTAAGAATTGCTTGTATTCAAATTACCCTAATATTGGAATTGTAGTTAATACAGTATTACTATATACTCCAGCAAAAAGAACTTATAAGTTGAATTGTGTAGCAATGCAATATTACTGCAATTTCTATATAACAGCATGCAATTTTCCATTTAACATAATAAAAAAATATTTTTTTTAGAGAAACCAGATCAATATTTTACATCAGAAGCTGAGAAAAAAGCAAAATTTTATTATGAATCATGTATGGATGAAGATGGTATTGTTGAGAAATTGGGTGCTGAACCAATGAAAAAATTCATTAAAAATTTTGGAGGTTGGAATATAACAGATAGTGATTATGATATATCAAGTTGGACTTTAGAAGAGCATTTAAAAATACAAAATAGGTAATATTAATATTAATTTTCTTTGAATCAATAAGAAAGAAATTAAATTTCTAGCAATCCTTGCTTTAACATTGCTAGAAATATTACTATTGGTTTGAAAATCATGATGTGCTACAAAATAATTGAGTTATTCAGAAATCCTTATCTAATTTTTAAGGCCCTGGTGTATTGAAAATTTTGAAAGATTTCTTAAACTTGCGTGTGTAATCACAAACTCCGAATTCTGACTAGAAATAATTTCTGACTAGAAATTTAAATTCAACTTCATAACAATATAATATATATATATTGTATATTCATTAATTTAACTCTATCATATTTATATTAAACATACAATTTTTTTTATTTTATTTTAATTTCAACAAGATATAATATGAATGGATTTTTTACATGGGGTGTGGCTGAAGACGATAAAAATTCTAGTAGAAATATAATAAGTATTGATCAAGGTGGTTTAAATTTACCTACGCGTGATCATTATCTTAATAAAACCGGGCATGAAAAAGTTTTAAAAGCCTATTTAGATTATATGACAAAAGTAGCTGTATTATTAGGAGCTAATGAAAATGAAGCTAAGCGTCAAATGCAAGAAATAATTGATTTTGAAACAGAAATAGCACAAATTACAGGTAAATAAAATAAATATTTAATTTAAGAAAATAAAATTCTTGAACAAACACTTTTTGTTTGTGTTCAACTTTAGATATGGGAATCTTACAATAATTTAATATTTAACAAGTTAGGAGGTTTCAAATAATAACTTCTATTTCAAAGCTGTATAGTACTGATATTTGAAAAAATCAGAAATTTAAATCCATAATCCGAATTGCATATCAAAATGATATTACATACTTTAATTTTGAAATCATTGTTAATTGAAGACTTCTTTTTTGTATATCAAAATTATCTTTAATATAAATAAGAACTACAAAATTACAGTATAGAATTGTTAATTATTACCTAACGTAAAAATTATTATTTTTCTCTTTATTTAACCATTTAATAAATATTTTAACTGTGCCCTCTTTTAAAATAATCATTGCTTGATTGTAGAAAAAATAACGTTTTAGTTTTAATATCATATTTATTCGGATTGTTCTTTACTTTTGCTGATTTCAAATAAATAAAATATGCTCTTAATTTTAAAACAAGCTATTAAATTTAAAAAAAAAATTAATATGTTGTACTTATACTCTTTTTTTTCATTTAAAGCTCCGTTAGATGAACGTAGAAATGATGAAAAACTTTATAATGCTATGACATTAAGAGAATTACAAATAAAAGCTGGATTCATTGATTGGGTTGATCATTTTTCGGATGCATTCAGTATAGTCAATCGTACCATAACAAATGATGAACCTGTTGTTGTTTATGCACCAGAATTTTTTCAAAATTTGTCAACTTTAATAATAATGTATAAAAAAACTTCAGAAAAAAGGACGTAAGTTACAAAACAATTGTATAACTTTTGGTGTTCCATTTGATAATTTATTTTAAATATTCTGTAGGAAAACAAATTTAATTTTATTATACCCGCGCGAACGTAAAATCGAAGAGTATTAGAAATTTTCCTTTTCATTTGTAACGTTAGAAAATAATGGCCTCAGATATGGACATAAGACTATGTTTTTGATCAGCATCGAATTCTGAGTCGATTTAACCACGTCTGCCCGTCCCAACGATAACTCAAAAACTAATAGAGGTAGCTCACCAAATTTTCACAAATGATTTGTAATAAATAATTTGGCTATATCTCTGAAATGATTGAAGCTATAATATCGAAATTTCACGCAGGATGTTATATGTATGATAAAAATCGCTGAAATTCCTTGACTCCTTCTAGTAGCTGCCATATAAGTTCAATAGTTATTTGTACATATCTTAGAAAGTACTTATCGCACAATACTGAAATTTTGTATAAACAAATATAGGCCACTATTTTTGGTAAAAGCTGTGGAGATGTCAAGAATACTTATGATAGCTTTCATATGACTTTAAAAGTTATTTGGCCTTTTCGTGTTATTTCCTTACCCGTGGGGGAAGCTGCCAGTTTCGAAAGCTATTTATTCCTTCATTATGGAAACTATAGAGATTAAAAAGTTTACATGGCCAACTCTACCTATTTTCGTTTTAATTATTAATTCAATTAAAAATCATTGCATACAAAATGGAATTTTTCATATTTGAATATTAAAATCTAGCAATAAGAGTTAAATAGCTGAATTGTGAACACTTATTGCTGAATTAAATTTTGTATAACAGTAACATGCATTTTTCATATTTGTCAACAATTTGACGTTCATCAAAAATAACTTTTCATAATAATTTTAACGTATCAATCATGATTTCAAAATTTGTTTCAAATGCATAAATTTACAGAAATTTATGCCACAACGCAATTATGTCCTTGTGACTGCAGAGAAAGTCAAAAATCGAATGACAAAAAGCATTAATACTTGAACTTTAAATTGTTGACGATTAAGAAAAGCACGATATTTTAAAATGTAAATACACATATCAGGATATACCTAAAATGTATACACAAAACAAACAAAAATATTTAAGGTAAAGGAATTTAAGAACCATAAATTATAAAGATTTTAGAGAAAATGTAAATTATTTTAAATAAATTAAAAACTTTTGTAGGATATTAGCAAATTACTTGGTATGGCAAGCTGTTAGATCATTAACATCATGTTTATCAAAACCATTTCGTGAAGCATATAAAGGTTTACGTAAAGCATTAGTTGGATCAGAAGGATCTGAAGAACCATGGCGCTATTGTGTTTCAGATACACATAATGTATTAGGTTTTGCAATTGGTGCAATGTTTGTACGTGGTGTTTTTCACGGTGAATCAAAACCAGCTGCTGAACTTATGATTAATCAAATACGTGAGGCCTTTATAAAAAATTTGAAAACATTAGATTGGATGGATAAAAATACATCAAAACTAGCTGAAGAGAAAGCAAATGCTATAACAGATATGATAGGTTTTCCAGATTATATATTAAATAAAACAAAATTGGATGAAAGATATTTTGATTTAAAAATAAATAAAACAGAATATTTTGATAATAATATTAGAGTAAATATATATAATTTAAAAAAAAATTTAGAAAAATTAAATGAACCAGTTAATAAAACAACATGGGGTATGACACCACCAACAGTAAATGCATACTATGCACCAACAAAAAATCAAATTGTATTTCCAGCTGGCATATTACAATTACCATTTTATGATTTAAATTATCCGCGTAGTTTAAATTTTGGTGGTATGGGTGTTGTTATGGGTCATGAATTAACTCATTCATTAGATGATCAAGGTAGAGAATATGATAAATTTGGTAATCTAAAAAGATGGTGGGAAAATAAAAGTATAGATGATTTTAATAATAAAACAAAATGTTTTATAGAACAATATGAAAAATATCAAATAAATGGAAAAAAATTAAATGGCAAAAGAACATTAGGTAAATATACAATTAGTTTTGATTCCAATTATTTAATTATATATTAATTCAATTGACTTCAATTATATAATATACAGGATGCCTCAGTGATCAGTACCTTAACATACCATTAATCATTTAAGTTATAAAAAATGAGTAAAATTTTTGTTCTAAACTAGGTGCCAAATCTCCACGATTTCGGAGGTAACAATGAGAAATTTCCTCGAACACTTTTTATATATAAAAAAAAATCTTAAACTTCAGATTTTTTATCAAAAAAACGGTTCTCAAAAATGTCAACTGCGTTTTAAAGTAGCTTTTGCAATCAAAAATTAATTACAGAACTTAAAATCAATAGAAATCAAAAATATTGACAATTTCTTGAGTTTCTACATTTAATTAAGGTCTTAAAAGTGTTGTTTTTGTGCTATATCCTCTTTACTATAAAAGATTTTTTAACGTTTAAGAAACTTAAAACTTAAGAAACTGGACAAAAATTTATATAAAATTTTTCAAAATTTCTAAAAATGTCATACAAATTTGTCGGGATAAATTAAATAAAGTTGGGTCAAACCACTGGTTTGTATTGTAACACTTTTCCCTTCAACAAGTGAAAATACTGCTTTTAAATACAGTCTATGTATACCTATCACACTATTAAAATTATTTTCATTAAAACGAAACAATTACTACGATTGCATATATTTAGGATGCAGTCTTTGAAATAAAGCAAAAATTAATATAAATTATGCTCGATTTTAAGAATTAATTGCGTGAGTTAAGAAAAATAATTATATTTTTTAATGTCATGGAATTTACCGTTAGCCTCTAGCCTTTATAGAAATTTAAAAAAGCTTGCCGTTTCGAAAATATAAGACGTCAAAAATTCAAATTTTACAAATTCCAAGAGGCGATAACGCGAGAGGAGGTGGAGATGGAAAAAAATTTTCTTCTAACGAAATAAACTGCTTATTAGTGCCTAACAGCTGCTAAAAGTTTAGGCCCCTACAACCGGGGGTCTAGAAGAAAAACGACATTAAAAAAATTGGAAAAAACGGATTATAGATAACGGTGAAATTGAACGGCCATTTTGTTTTTTTAAAGTTTAATTATAGTATGCTGCGATAGGAGAAGCAAGCCATTGCCTGTTGACTGCAACAAATAGTTAAAAAATGGCATTGTTAGGGTCTTGAGAGGGTATAACTTCTAAAGGGGGGGAGATAGGTAAAAATTTTGTTCTACGGAAATAGGTTTCAAGTAAAAATCTTTGTATAGTTAAATTTCAGTTTTCTAAGTTCAAGGGTGTAGAAGTTTTATAAACATGTCCACGGACGGACAGAGTGAAACTAATAAGCACTTTTTTTCAAAAACTTTTTGGAAAAGTACTAAAAAAAGAAAAAATTTGATTTTTTCTATAAAGTTCGAGTGATTGGTATTCCGCAAGTGCATAAAATACAAAATGCCCTTTATTAGCCCTTTCAGAAACGGTTCCTTCTATCTTTTTACCGACCGCATTGTGTATACAATAGGTAGGTTATGTGTTGGCGACAAATTTTGTACATCGAGTTTTTGGTGGTAACGCACTTTTCCATAATAGGGAAGTGTAAATAAACTATTTTTAGCAACTTGTCGGTCTGTCGGTCTGTGTGTGCACGCGTGTATCTCAAGTTCGGGTGAACCGATTTTGATGAATTTTTATATATAAGTTTATTTCGGCTATGCCACAGATTGATCAGATATATTGATCTTACTTTTGAGATATATCAGGCCTCGGGAACTGCCTTTTTTAGCGAGCCTGTTTTACATTTTTTATCACTATGAAAAAAATATTCAACAGATTTAAATTTCATATATAAGCTTCATTCGACCGTCCGCGAAACCTGTAAACTTTTAGAAGAAATCAGATGTCATCAGCTGGATATCTACTACGGGCCAAATATACATTTTTGCGTATACAGAGAGAAAAAATCAGCCGATTTCATTGAAATTTAATATTTAAGTTCTTCGTATTAAAGCAATGAACATATAAATTTTTGGGAAGACCAGGGCGCGGAAACTGATCTGAGACCTATTTAACATTTTTTATCATATCTACGGAACGAATTGATGGAATTTCTTAAAATATGATATTTGAGTTCTGGTTGTTACTTAAACTAACTGACGAGCATTTCAGGGAATTCGGGTAGCACAAAGCGAAACTCTACTAAGAGCCAAATTTATATTTTTCTAGTTATGTTAACTATAAGCTTACTAATGCCTTTAAAATTAGAAAGAAGTATTCAACAGGCGTTTTTATAATATTCTGTTACACTTTCAATTAACTAGACAATGCACAATGCGGTCAGTTATGTGCTGACCACATCAGAATTTTTTATTTTTGATCTTAAATCTTTTGCTGAACTGTATGTCAATACAATATTGCTGCCCTTTTGAAGTCATGAAACTAGTTTTACTATAATTCGGTTATCCCATAAGGTAATTGAACCTATCGTATTTATAGTTAATTTAAAATATATTTTTCAAAATGACAGTTTCTTTGACACTTGAATTGCAGCAATGCTGAGTTTCTGCAATTTAACAATTTTGCAATTATGTAGTATATAAAAGTTGAATTCAAGGTTTTGTTAATTATTTCAATTCATGATCAATAATTGAATAGTTTTTAGCACTTTTCCAAAACAATTCTGAAAAAAATGGTTATTAGTTTCTTAGTCTATACGTCCATGGACCCTTCAAAAACACTTTTACACTCTTGAAGATAGAAAGCTGAAATTTCATATATACATCTAGTATATCCTTACTAGAAATTTATTTCCGTAGGAGAAAATTCTTACCTTTCTCCCCGTCTAAATGTTTTAGCCCCTAAAACCCTAAAAATGCCACTCTTTAACTGTTTATTATAACCCAACCACACACATTTTTTGAATTCTACGAACACAGAAAAGTAGTAGTTGGCTTCTTCTCTCGCTGAATACGCAAATTTGAATTTTGAAAAACAAAATGAACTAAAATTTGCCGTTGCCTGAAACTCGTCTTTTTTAAAATTTGATAGCGTTTTTCTTCTAGATCACAAGTTGTAGAAATCTGATATTTTAAAATCCTTAAAATATCAAGTTAAAACGAGAAAAAAATATAGTTGACCTTGTCAACTCTGTGATACCCGTACGAATTTGTTATCCTATGTGCGAATAACTAATGTGCCATAACTAACTATGGGGCAGACTATGACTTTAAGTTGCCGTATTACCATATTAATTTATGCAAAATTTCAGTACTATGTGTTATTCAAAATACTGGTTGTGCCAAACTACTATTGATGTTGTATGGCAGCTACCAGAAAGAGCCAAGAATTTTAGCGAATTTTATCAAGCACATCGGCCCTACTAATATACTCACTTGTGTGAAATCTCAATATCACAGCTTTTATAGTTTCTGAGATATAGTCAAAAAACTTTTGAAGTTGTATGGCAGGTACCAGAAGGAGCCAAGTAATTTCCACGACTTTTATAAGACACATTGGCCCTACTAATATATTCGCTTGTGTGAAATTTCAATACCATAGCTTTAATAGTTTCTGAAATATAGTCAAATAGCTTTTGAAGTTGTATGGCAGGTACCAGAAGGAGCCAAGTAATTTCAACTACTTTTACCAGACACATCGGCCCCACTAATATATTCACATGTGTGAAATCTCAATATCACAGCTTTTATAGTTTCTGAGATATAGCCAAATAACTTTTGAAGTTGTATGGCAGGTACCAGAAGGAGCCAAGTAATTTCAACGACTTTTATGGGGCATATTGGCCCTACTAATATATTCGTTTGTGTGAAATTTCAATACCATAACTTTTATAGTTTCTGAGATATAGCCAAATAAATTTTGAAGTTGTATGGCAGCTACCCGAACCGGTACCCCGATCATGTCCAATTTAAATAGGGTTCTGGCACTTACTACAATAAATCATTTGTGAAAATTTGGTGGACTTAGCTCAATTAGTTTTTGAGTTATCGTTGGGACGGACGGACGGACGGACGGACGGACGGACGGACGGACGGACGGACGGACAGACAAAGCTAAATCAACTCAGAATTTGACGCTGATCAAAAACATACACTTGAGTCTATATCTAAGACCGTTATTTCTTAGCGTTACAAACGGTAAGGCAAATTTAGTATACCCTTCGAACATACGTTCGTACGGGTATAATTAACTTAAAATATAAGTTAATTTCTCAAGGAGTTTCTATGAGGATTTCATTTCCTTTCCAAATTTCTGTAAACGCATAAAGATAACGGGAAATGTAATTATTTTTCTTAACTAACGCAATTAACCCTTGAATTCACCATTTTAACTTTCGAACAGACATTAATCGTCTATTCCCATTTTTTTTGTTTGGTCCTAAATAAAAATGAAAATAATTTAAAAAATGTAAATGATTGTTTTTAAAAGCAGCATTTTAAACTGTTGAAGAGTGAATTTTCAACTTTGATTTCAAAGGTACATACTTAAAAATTATAAGCGCTATCTATTAATATAACGAGAAATTGTGTTATTTGTATAAGTTTTTAATATCGTTGTATTTATGGTATAGTTTTTTTGAAGTTAATTATAGAAATTATACAATATTTGAGTAAGAACAACCCCAATATAAATTATTTTATAATTCTTTTATGTATATAACTATAATAAAATAACCCTGAATAATTTATTTACTTAAACTTTCTTTTGAACAGGTGAAAATATAGCAGATAATGGTGGTTTGAAAGCGGCATATCATGCTTTTCTAAATTCAAAAAGTGATAATGAAGCTGATATTTTACCATTACCTGGTCTAAATATGACACATAAACAATTATTTTTTATAGCTTTTGCTCAGGTAAGTTGGATTTCGTTGCATTTCTAAAATAACGTGATTTTATTGAACTGACACTGCATTAATTTTGGTTGTTAGGTACACAGTTGTTCGGACTATACAACAAGTAGTCCATTCCTGACTTAAAGCAGGAATAAATTACTTGTAATGATATAACAATAATATGTTTTTAACACAAAATCCAGCTTCAGAGCTGTAATTTGTAAATTGTGTATGCAGTATTATTACAATTTTTTATTCAGGCTGTCTTGTGTTATTATCGATTCGAATTTAATTAAAAAAAATTATTTTAACATATGTAATTTATTTCCTTTTATATTATATATCGAAAATAGGTTTGGTGTACAACATTAACAAGTGAAGCTGCAACATTACAAGTTGAAAAAGATAATCATACACCACCAAAATATCGTGTTATAGGAACTTTATCAAATTTTGATGAATTTTCGCGGGAATTCAATTGTAAACTTGGAACGAATATGAATCCACAAAAGAAATGTGAGGTCTGGTAATATGTATGTATATATATAATATATATACATATATATATATATATATATATGTTTATATAAACATAAATATAAATATACTTATTTAATGTAGATACATGTAAAGTACGTAATTTTAGAAATATAATTAAAAAAAAAAGAAAAAATTTTAGAAATAAAACCTAAACATTCACAACCATACATATATGAAAATAATTTAGTAGAGTATTTAAAATGAAAATATTGTCATTATTATTTTTTCAACAAGCAATAATTTTTCTATTACTCTAAAATGCAGATCTAACATGAATTTTGTTTATTCAGCAGATAAAATTATATATTGTTGAATAAGTTAAATTGATTTCAGAAAGCATTTTTATGTAGACGCGTTGCTATTTTTTAAATTCCAAGCCGAAAAACAATAAAAATAGATTAAGTTTAGCAATAAAACTTTTCCTACAATGAAAACTTACAAAATTTTAGCTGAAATATCGCCAAAACATAAAATATTTCATAATAAGTTGTTTGAATTTGGTTGTTTATTAGAGTATCTCTTATAAAATAGCGAAAGAGTATTTCAAATCAAAACCATAAAAATTTACAAAAAGTGGGTAAGGAAAAAGATTTTAAATGCCTTTTTTATATTTTATGTACCGCATTGCATTTATTAAGGGAGGTCTTTTTTTCGTATCCAAAATTCAAATTTCAATTGAAAATTTCAATGAAATTCAGAATCTTTGTATTAAAGAAATATACACAAGAATTGTCGTTAACAAAATTTCTAATTTACATGAGATTTCTTTCATAAAATTAACGAAACTTCAGGGCATTTTATTTTATTAGTGTGTTCCCAGGTACGCCTTTTGTACTTTTGAATAAACTCAAGATTAAGATATTTCCTTAAAGGAAACATTTCCGACCTCATATAGCATATATAACGTATTTTTGTTCAGAATTAAATTCTAAGTCTAACTAGATCATGCCTAACCGTCCGCTCGTCTGTGTGTCCGGTTAAATTCGTATATTGCTGAAATACTCATTTGGGAATGCACGCAAGAGTTTTACAGGTTGCAGATTGGTATTGAAAATAAACAAAAGTACCCACTGAGCAGAGCTCTGGTACTTTCTGCACAAATTTCGTGTAGGGGTTTCAAAAACAAATTCACCAAATATAAAGCCATACCGTACATCATTGAAAAACTTCTACGTCATACCTGACTTAGAAATCATAGGATAATATGGCCATACCTGACATTTTTATTATAATCACTGCGAAACGTGATGAATTCTACAATTTTGATACTATGAAGTAGAAAGTTTTGCACACAAACTTCGTAATATTTTTTAAAAGTTATGAAAAATTTTAGTAGAAGCTCAATGTAGTGCAGAATTTTTTGTGCAGAAAAATCAAGAGAATAAATCAGTTGTTTATTTATAAATCAGAATTTATTTTCCTTAAACATTCAGATAATTATCTTCGAATCATAGGTCTCTCTGAAACATATTTTCTATTTTATCAAACAAAAATCAAATTACATACCTTAGAATAGAAATCGCAATAATACTATTTTATCACAGAAATTTCACTTAAAAGATACTCACAGCTTTCTATTTAAATATACACAGCCTGAAATTCATAGAAACAATAAATAATACAAGTATGGGTATTAAAAACTAACTGTAAGTGATTTCGATGGTATAAATTATATAGTAATTATTTATTAAATTTATGACTTCATAAATTTAATAAATAATTACTATATAATTAATATGCTAACTTTAATATTGTAGTTATTGGGTTGCAATTATAAAATAATACGATATACAGTAAGTAAGCTGAATTGTATAATAATGCTATACCACTACAATTTAGGATATGTTACGTTGAATATTAAAAATATTACAGAAATACGGTTTCGTACGATGCGCCATTACCATCAGAAAGATGTCAGGGAAAATCTAACAAAATCGTTCGTACGAAACCATATTTTTGTATTATTTTAAAGAACCGTTTTCAACTATAGTTTTCCTGTTTATTTAAACAATTATAGTGATAAATTTAATAATTAATTGAAAAAAAAAATTATCATTAAAATATTTTTATTTAAAGAAAATCAAAATATAACTTTATATCTAGTTTGCAGTTTTAGGATAGCTTTAATATCACAATAATATTTTGCGGTTATTAATCTAATTCAAATTATAAATTGTAATTGCTAAATTCTATCTAGTAACACAATATTATTGAAATTGAAAAAAGTTCTATATGAATACTTTTCAATTAACCCAAAATAATGGATCTGGATTGCAGTTTTAACCTAGCTTCAAAATCATAATACCATTTTGCGGTTACCAATCACTTCAGCTTATAAACTGTGATTGCCGAATTGTGTATAGTAATACAATATTACTAGAATTTTAAAGTTATATGAATACTTTGCCAATTACCAAATTTAGCCTGTAAGCTTTAATTGCTGAATTGTAGATTAACTTAGTATTATTGCAATTTAAATGCTAGAATAAATAAATATTAAATCAAATTGAAATATTTAGAAACGAATTTTTCAAAAAATAAAATTATGTTTTCATAACTTTTATTTTTATAACTTTTCTCACATGTACTTTAATTATATAGCATTATAAATAATAATTAAATGTTTTAGTATTTGTGTATTGTTATTGTATAGAAAAACAGAAACTCAAAAAAAAAAAAAAACAGAGATAAAAAGAGATAGGAAGTCAAAATATATATTTATATTTCCCTATATGTATATATCAAAAGAAAAATATTTTATATATATATATATATGTATATATAAGGAAAACTCCCCAACTAAATTCGAAATTATATTGTAAATTTTTATACAAAACAAATTATTATGTAATTATTAAATTATTTCTTTTTGTAAATTTATTTGAAAAAATAAACAAAAAAAAAATTCTAATTTATATTTTAATGTACACAAGTATACATTTATGTATATATATATAAATATATATATATATGTATATATATATATATATGTATATGTATGTATACATGTATATACATATATTATATATATGTATGTATACATGTATGTATACTTGTATAAATAGATATATATATATGTTTTATACATAATTATGTACATAATAAATGTGCGCATACGTAAAAGAATACAACATAATATATTTAATTTGAAAATCAACTTTTATAATCCTCCCGTCCGTAGACATGTTTACAAAACTTCTACACACCATGAAGAAAGAGAGCTGAAATTGCATATGTACATAGATTTTTACTAGAAATTTATTTCTGTAGAAGGCAATTTTTCTCTTTCCCCCCCCCCCCCCCCCCCCCCGCTTTAAAAGTTAGATCTACCAAAACCTAAAAATGCCACTTTTAAACTACTTATTGCAGTGGAAGCATAGGCATTTTTCAAATTTTGCAAAAGCAGAAAAGCAGTTTACTTTAAAGAATCAAAAAGAACTTTAAAAAATCAAAATGGCCATAAAATTTACAAAAATGTTTGATGACACAGATCGCAAATTTTGAAATTTTAACAGATTTTAGATGCTAATAAATATTAGTATTGCATTTCGTAGAAGAAAATTTTTTTCACCTCCACCTCTTAAGTTATAGCCCCTCGAAGTTTTTAAAATTCGAATTTTTGGTATCTTATATTTCCGAAACAGCAAACTTTTTCGAATTTCTATAAATGCCTTTAAAAATATAATTATTTTTCTTAACTCATGCAATTAACCCTTAAAATCGAGCAATACGTTAACCCCTTTTTAATTTTTTTTTTAGCTTTATTTCAAAGACTACGTAAATCGTTCATCCTAAATGTGTGCAATCCTTGAAACAGTTTCATATATGAATAAAAATAATTTTAATAGTGTAATAGGTCTACATAGTTTTTAAAAGCAGTGTTTTCTCTTGTTGCTACAAACCTTAAAGTTGGTTTGACCCAACTTCATTCTAATTAATAATATGCTGAATATAATTCAGCAACTGCTGAATAACGTAGATATATAATTTATATTTCCGTTGAAGTCTGAATTAGCTTAAATATTTTTCCATAATGTTCGGTAAATTGAAAATCCAAAATTAATGCGCTTTTGATGGAAAATTGAGCAAATGATATATGCTGAAATTACAAAATATCAGTGATCAAATAAAGCTATTTTAGTAATTCACTCCAATTTATTACAAAATCTCGAGAAGATATCGGAGCTATGATAGCGTTTATACCTTATGTTAACGTTCTCTGCAGGAGGTGGGAGGAGGAGACATTTGTCATCTTCAACACTCATATCCCGCTTTGGGATGAGAAAGTCGGAGTGTTCTTGAATCGCATTTCTTTTTGTAAGTTACGAACCTATAAATAGAATATAAATAACAAAGATCTAAACCGTTTTATGCCAACCAGTACTCGGGCTGGTTTAAGTGAAAGTGGGAATGTGGAGATCCAACGGTATCACAACGAGCCTATTTCGTCTAAATATATCCTTAGACAGTCACCCTAATCTAACTTAGCCTATATTACAAGACAATATTATTCTGAATTTTCAATTATTTTAAATATTATTTCCAAATAAATATAAAACATATTGTTATGGGCGGGACCAGGCTTAATTAATATGCGTATTTTCGATTTTAAAATACCAATATTGATCAATATTTTCGATGTTAAACCAATATTGAATTATCAAATAATTAAGCAATTTGAATATTTAATAAGTTACATTTTACAGTAATACAATGCTACTATACTATACAATTTGGATATAAAGAGATTGATTTACTTAAGGTAGTTATCACCTTTATTATGTTCACCATGACTGCATTTATTTGCTTCAAAATGAATATTGAGAGATGTATGAAATGTTAAACAATTCTACAATTTTTAAAATAACAAACTGAATTATATAAACACTATATACGTTATTTCAAATTCAAAATCATTAGTGGCTCTGACATTAAAACAGTAAAATTGTAAAACTTTGACAAAAAAATAGAAAAAAAATTGTTTAAATGTACTCAAATTCTAAAGAGCAGATTTGCCTATAAAATATAGTTGAATGCAACTTAAAATTTAAGACTTCATATTAACACTATATAATGTAATGACAACGTCAATATGTCTGTTAATAATATTTGCAATCAGTGTAATAACTTAAGAAATAATAAATTAATTTTTTGCGATGAGCCGTGTAGAAAACGGATCTGCAGCAATGGCTCTGCATTAGATATTAAATGAACGATACTCAGGCAAGAAAAAGAATCAGAAGCTGAAAACTTGGGCAAATATTAAAAATCAGTTTGAAATTTCATCAAAAAATCAAAAAATTCCAAAATGACGTTAATGAAATTAAACAATATATAGAAACTCTAATTGAAGATAGTGTTTTAATGCAAAAAGAAAACAAAGAACTGAAATTAGAACTTTAAAAAAATAAAAATGAAATCGAAAAACTGAAACAACAGAATTTCCGTCAACATTCTGAAGCAAATGTGAATCCAAAAAAATTTGTAACAATAATCCTTGAAAGTGTTGGAATTAATGTAAGTGAGCAATAAATAATACATACGTTTTAAAAACAGGTTTTAAAAGACAGGTGAGGCACCAAAAATTGTTGTAGAGTTTAATAACCTTAAATTCAGACCAAATGCTTTGAGTGTGTTAACACTCAACCAAAATAAATTTTAAATTTTCATTAACAATCAGAATTTCCAAAAACATGGTGAAAATACAAATGAAAACTACATTTTCTGTAATGAAATACTAACTACTTCACTAAAAACTACTCTATAAAAAAGCTTGTGATTTAAAAAAATCAAAATAATTGAGTTAACGTAGATAAAAGGAGGCAGATTGTTTATTAAAAAATGTTCCAAAAGCAAAGTTATACTAGTTACTGATGAAAAAAACCTAAATGTTTAATAATATACCATTTACTTTGCCCTCAAATATCCATGTAAAATCAATCTACATCATATTTTTGAAGTTAAAATAAAAAAGCAAAATTCACTTAAACTGTGAAGCTTTAATGCAAGAAGTCTAAAGTCTGTGATATCAAATACGAGTATATCTTAGAAAAATTTAAAAGTATAACTGACATATTAATTTGACAAGGTTGTTGCTTCAAAATAAAAAATTATGAAACACCAATAATTTCTGAGACACAAATAAGACCCTGGTAGTGTGGCAATGTTTATGTATGAGAAGCTAACTCATACAAAGAATGTGGAATTTCGTGATGCATTCAATAGCATTTTTAGCATCAATCTAACTTCCAGACATCGCCAATATGGTGTTTACGTATGCTATAGGCCACCAGGAAATAGTCTTGAAAGTTTGAATTATATTTTGATAGCCTAAAATCTAATAATTGATCTAATAATTTATCTAATTATTGGTGACTTCAATTTCTATTTAAAATGTTAAATTAATCGAAAAACATCTGTTTACAAAACAATAATAGAATCGAGTAGTTACGCTATTTATCATGAAAAAATAACGAGACCTTCTTCAGTCAGGATCATGCCTGTTTTAATTGGTAATCCATATTCTGTAGTGCATCATGATCTATTTGATCACCTTGGTATATTTGTTGAGCTTCCTAATCTTCATTTTATAAATAAACAAGTAAATGAGCAGCTGTTTTATTAAAAAATTAACCATGACATTACTAAAAAGGAATTGACAGCAAAAAAAAACTGACATCTCCCCAAAAGATATCAAATCATGATAAATTCAGATTTAATTTCTTCAATAGATTTAATTTCTAAATGCAATATAATAATTGAAAGTGCTACCCTCTTTAAAAATAAGAAATTTAGTGGAAAAAATATTCAGCTTCGAGGTTGACCTCGAATGCGCAAAATATATTAGTAGAAATTTTTGTTATTAAAAACATATTTCAAATCAAGCGTCTATTAAAATAAAAATATATATAATAAAATAGTTAGTATTGGTTTAACAAGGTAACTAAAATTAAAGGAATAAAAATTCGTCAAATTCCAGTTCAAGTAGAGTTGATAACATGTCAACAGTATTCCTTAAAAAGTGTAAGGAGGAACAAGCTGATGGCTTAATGAAAATAATCAATGGCTCATTATTACAAACAAGTATACCCGATATATTGAAAATATGTAAAGCCGTACCAGTACCTTAAAATACTAGCAGTATTATAGGCCTTAAAAATTTTGGGCAATATCTTCGTATGTGCGAATAAAGATGCCATAACTGACTATGGGACAGACTATGACTTTAAGTTGCCGTATTACCATATTAATTTATGCAAAATTTCAGTACTATGTGTTTTTCAAAATACTGTGTGTTTCAAATTACTACTGAAGTTGTATGGCAGTTACCAGAAAGAGCCAAGAAATGTTAACAAATTTTATCAAGCACATCGGCCCTACTAATATATTTGCTTGTGTGAAATTTCAATACTACAGCTTTTATAGTTTCTGAAATATAGCCCAATAAATTTTGAAGTTGTATGGCTGCTTCCCGAACCGGTACTCCGATCATGTCAAATTTAATTAGGGTTCTGGCACTTACTACAATAAATCATTAACTACAATAAATTTGTGAACATTTGGTGAACTTAGCTCAATTAGTTTTAGAGTTATCGTTGGGACGGACGGACGGACGGACGGAGAGACAAAGCTAAATCAACTCAGAATTTGACGCTGATCAAAAACATACACTTAAGTCTATATCTAACACCGTTATTTCTTAGCGTTACAAACGGTAAGGCAAATTTAGTATACCCTTCGAATATACGTTCGTATTGGTATAAATATTGCTAGAACATAGTGTCAAAGCAAAGGAATACTTATGGTTTAAGAGTTATTTAAAAAACCGAACTCGAGTGATATCGCAAAAAGTAGCTTTGGTGTAATAACAGGCAGCTCGTTGGGACCAACATCATTTACAATGTACATAAGTAGCGTATTAGATCTAAAACTAAGCGGATCCATCTACATGTATGCAGATGATATAGTCGTTCTATATGAACATACTTTGCTAAATAATTTAATAGGCTTGATTCAACAAGACATGGATGATTTCAAGAAAAATAACGGGAACCTTTAAATTAATAGGTAACAAAATACCACATAACGCAAAAAGAACACTTTATTACAGTATGTTTCATGCTATAATTACTTACAACAAGCAGATATTTTATTTTATTTTATTTTACATACTTAACTCAAATATATTACAATATAATATACATATCAGTTTACATATTTTGACTTACAGAAAACTAATATCTGTTTTAAATCCAAATAACATTAGAATATGAATACAAGGACGTCAAATAACATTAGAATGTGTTCTTCATAAGTGAGACGCAACACTTTTGATTCTGTTTATAAGATCGGAGTAAAATAATAAAACAATTTTCCGAATAGCATAAAAAACATAAAAAAATAGATATATTTAAACCTAAAATAAATGAATATTTTTCCAGTCAAATCTAGACTTTTTGTATGAATTAATTTAATTAACAACTTCAACCATAAAATTTTTAATTGATTATTTGAAATAGTTAGTTAATTTAAAATAGTTATATAAATTGAAAATGTTATTAATATGAAATAAATATTATTCAATGTATATATATATGTATATATATATATATATATATATTATATAAATGTATAAATTTATGAATGTATATATATTTTCCTTAGAATCAATTTCTTATACTGATTATAAATTAGATGGTAACACTTTTTGCGAGCCGTTATGGAGCTCTTGTAAGTTTTGAATTGAATAAAAAAAATCTGATGTGATCAGCACATAATCGACCGCACTGTATATCGTCAAGATTACTGAAAGTATTCCAGAGAATTATGAAAATGCGTTTTAAACACTTCTTTACAACTTTAAGGACACTAATAAGCTTTTAGTTAACATACCTAGAAAAATGTGAATTTGGCTCTCCGTAGAGTTTGATTTTGTTCTGTCCGAATTATACGATAAGTTCGTCAGTAACTTCTCTAGCAAACACTTCTTTACAACTTTAAGAACACTAATAAGCTTTTAGTTAACATACCTAGAAAAATGTGAATTTGGCTCTCCGTAGAGTTTGATTTTGTTCTGTCCGAATTATACGATAAGTTCGTCAGTAACTTCTCTAGCAAGCAGAGCTCAAATATTAAATTTCCAAAAGTCTAAATGTAAATAAGTAAAAAGTGTAAAATCGGCCCGCAGATTAGTTTTCAGGCCTTTATCTTTCCAAAAAATTTTAGATTCATTGTTTTATGAAATCGGTTGATCATTTTTCTTTATATACGCAAAACTATATATTTGGCAAAACTATATATTGATATTAAAATACGCAAAGCTATAAACGTTCAGTTGATTTCTTCCCAAAGCTAGGAAGTTCCGCGTACTGTCGAAAGAAGCTTGTATATGAAACTTGAAGTAAATCTGCTGAATATTTTCTTCAAAATGATCAAAAAAGTAAAACCGCTAAGAAGTCCAGTTCCCTTTACTATTCTAGAACGGTCTTGCTAAACCTCCACACATCCATAAGGTTGTTGTAGCCCTCCAGGTGACTTTGTTTATTTAGTTCCAGGATTACCCCAAGGTATTTCACTTCTCTAGAATAGCTAATACGTTCATCAAACAGAATTAGTCTCGGTAATTTATCCTTGTTTCTACGCCAATGAGCTTTTGCTGGGATTTACATTTAACCACACGCTTCTACACCACCTTTCCGCAATAAGTAGATTCTGGTGTAAAAGAAGCTGGCATGAAAAATTTCCAACAACGCCCTATCGATGATTACACAATGCTGCAAGAACACAGCATATATCCCGTCATCACCTGTAGGTTTGAAAAGCCTGAAAGAGAAAACAGCCCATCTTAACCTATCCTTCGTGAAAACCGGATGGGACTATTGCCAGTCATCTCCCCTGAGCCAAGGCGCCTTTGGTTCAATAACCGCACCCGACTAAATTTCCGCTGGCATATTTTTTGGAAAGTACCCCGTGAAAACGAGCACTGTTGGAAGTTCATCTATGCCCTTGCTAAAAACCCAGACAACAGCAATATTTCTATATCAGTGGTTCCCAAAGTGGTCTATATAGGTGCTCAGGAGTCTATGAAGACTTGCTAGGGGTCAACGGAGGTTAAAAAAAAATTGAGGATTTATTAAATGAAAATACAAAAAGCAAGTGGTATCTATACGATTGAATTTAGTTTTTGGTTTGCTTCGTTCATGTAACAATTACTTTTAATTGTTAACTACTAGATTAATTAAATTTATTAAATTTAATAAAAAAATATGAATTTAATTAAATAAGTTTTTTATTTAACTTTTTCATATTATAGTTGTTCCTTGCTACTGTTAGAAATTTAAATCTATCAAAGAAAGTGGCAGGGAACTAGCAAAAACTGAAAAACACGACAAAGGGTCTGCGAGGGCGAAAGTTTGGGAACCTCTGTTCTATAGCAATACATAGTACTACTAAATTATAAAATCCGAAACTGTTTTTTTGTGTCACGACCGACCATTACAAAAAATAAATCATACAAGCAATTATAATTAAATTTTGTCTGACGTATCGTGATTCCCAAAATGCTATACTGCACAATTCAGCAAAGAAAACCAGTAAAGCGCATTATGGAAGTCAACCATATTATAATATGCTTGATAATTTTTTCTTTAACAACAGTTTTAACCACACAATCATGGTTAAAAGAAAAATTGTGTTATGCTGTTTTAAGGGGAGCAATTGTTAAAAAACTTTCATGCTATGTTGATGCCAGAAGAACAATATTTTCATATAGCGCTTGCGCAAAATTTTCCATAGCAACAAACAAATAAAATAATAAGCGATTTTTATTAATTTGGAATGAAATTTTTTATTTTATTATTTCACGTAAATTTCTTGTAACAATACAATTTAAAGACAAAAATATAACATCAAATAAAAACGAAAAGGAAAAAACAAAAAAGTTTGAAGTGTTCAACCAAAATTGTGATTTTATATTTTGGATGTAAATGAAAACAACGAGCGATACCAAGAATCCCATTAAAATAATTAATATTTTTATAAAAATATTAACTTCAAAAATAATAAAATAACTATTCCTGTAATCCTGTCCTGTGCCCCAAACTCCATAAATTTGTCCAACACATATAATCCTTAACTCTACAAAATCTAAGATTTTTTTCTTATTTTCTCCAATTTTCAATTTTCCTATATGTGTATTTTACATTCGAATAAAAAAGCTACTAACTGCTCTAAAAACAAATCTTTTTAAGGATAAAAAAAGACAAAATAATTATGGCTGATGATGGTAAAGCTGAAGGTGGTGAAGTTGAAAAAAAAATACTTCATGTGTATCCATTAGTTAAACATTCCGATATGAATGAAGAAATGCGTTCAGAGGCAATTGAATTAACTATAACAGCATGTGAAAAATTTGCAAATAACTACGAACAAGCCGCTAAAGTAATTAAAGAAACAATGGACAAACGTTTTGGTACGCATTGGCATGTTGTTGTCGGTGAAGGTTATGGTTTCGAAGTATCATATGAAACCAAAAATATTTTATATTTATTTTTTGGTGGAAATTTGGCTATTGTTGCATGGAAGTGCTCATAAACAAAAAAAAAATTAAATCAAAGTAAATTACCAGATCTTTTCCCGGCATTTTTTCTGCTATATAGGTACATAGTATATAAAATTTGTATATAGAATATCTTAAAGTACTTGCATCAAAAATTTCTGCTAATCAATTACAATGTAACGGTATAATTTAATTTAATTCAACAATATTTAGGATAATATTTTTTTTATGTGAAAGTTACAACATCAAAAATTTACACAATCAGTATTTTTGATTTGAATTTGTAAATTAATTTTAAAATTACAAAATAATACTAAAAAAATGAACTACGTAATATTAAAATTCGGAAGTAAAAAAAACACAAATAAATAAACCTATATTTTTCATATTTATAAATTTTTACTATCAGTCTTTTTTATTTTCTTTCTTCCTCCCCCCTGTAAGTACCATATCATCGATCTTTCATTTCCCCGTTAAATTCTAATAATATCTTGCACAAATATTTTGACACACTTGCATCTATTTATGTCTAATTAACTATACACGCACATACACACACATAATACAAATATTTATGATATTCCTTATTGTTTAAATAATATTTTAAAATTTAAATTATTTGAACAGTAAAACTCTGGCATCAATTTCTGTTACAAAATGTATACGTATGCATGTTATGCTTTATAAAAATTCAAAATACCTTGACTTTCAAAATGCAGTAATACGGTATTAAAACACAATTCAGCTCGTAAGTTTGAATTGTTAAATTGTGTATTAATATCGTTTTACTGAATTTTATAAGTCAGAGATACTATGCATTTGAACTGAATTCCAAAATCTTAATTTTATTGAATCATTATAATGAGCCATTACGAAATTATGCAATTAAGAAAATTATTCTTAACCTAACGCTGAATTGAATGCCAAAAACTTATTTCAAATTATAAAATTAAGATTTTAATAAGGTATGAACACCTTGAATTACAACTTTACTAAACGTTCCTGCAAAGTTGAAGAATTTCCAAGGTAAAAGGTTTAAATGATTAGGGATGTACTATGATTTCTAAAATTGAATTATTTTAATTAATAGTAGCGCGGCATTTGTTCTCACGGCAACAGAGTTGTGGTTTCCCGGGGCGCCAGAGGGTGGATGTAGATCTTTATACAGATTTATAAATCTGCAATCTACAATTATTAATGGCAAAATATTGATATAGTTAAAATATTTACCTATTTATATATATACATATATGTATATACCAATTAACTATGGAATAGTAAATAAGTTTTATGACTATACTATAAAAAACCACTGAAATCTATTTTTCAAAAACGAATTAATAAAAAAAAAATGAAAGTTTTTTATTGTAAAAATGTAAGTTACAATTGTTACACTGATAAGAAACTTTATTTTCATTCAATCTGTTACTCGTATTAATTTTGCTCTTTTTACTGTGTACAAATTTTCTATTGAGTTTATGGCGTTACTATGGCAAAAAATAATTATTAATATATTTGTACAGATTAGTAAGTATATTTAAATTTATTTAACAAATAAATTGCAGTAAAGCAGTAGCTAATACGATACTAATATACAATTCAGAAATTACAAATCATAAGCTGAGCTGATTAAAAAGAAAAAAACTTTTCAGAAAATATTTTTAGAAACAGGTATTTCTTGAGCTCCCTTCTACATATCCTCGAAATATGAATTGTAAATCTAATTCAGAAATTTATACTGAAGCTGAGTTCAGAAATTTATATTTTTGAGTTCGTCTTTTCTGCAAGGCAAATTGCTTAATTGTGAATTTCTTTTACTCTAAATTACTTTTAATGAACGTTTACTTATTCTTCCAAAGCACTTTGCGCGCAGCATTAACAAAAATAAATAATGGACAGAAAAAATAAAAAACTAAAGGAACAAATAATTTTGTTTTTTTTTCACTGATTTATTTCCGAAATAAATAAACGTCAAAATAAAAGGAGAATAAAAATAAGAAAAAAACTGTACGAAAAGAAGGGGAAACAAGTTAGGAAACAGCTGAGGAAAAAACTAAACAAAAAACAAAAAAAAAACTCTATTCTGGCTACTACCTATCTAGCAATAAAAAAACAATATTTTTTCTCTACTTTACTCTTGAATACTTGCATATCATACAAAATTGTTTAATATTTCTCAAAAATATACCATTTTTATTACTTAATTCCCAATTATTAATATTCAATTCTGCCTATGAATTGAATAAGACAATTCTTAACAAGTGTTTAATAAAATTTTTTTACTCTGTTTTTCATAAGATGAATTTTATATTAAATAATACCGTTTCACTGCAATTTTTAGTGTAGTACCTATACATAAGTACACAATTCAGCTTATAATTGCGGTAATCGCCGACTTTTTTTTAACCAATTGCTGAAAAATTTAGCTGACAAGTGATAATTATTGTTAGTATTAATTATTACAGGAATTTTGGATGACAGGGGATTTTGATATTATTTTTTAACTAAATTTGTTTGTGGTTTAGAAAAACAAAATTGTAATTATTTGAAAATTAACCAATAACCCTGAAAGTAGATTTGGAAAACTTTCTAAATCTGTACACGTACGTTTTTTCTATTACTAGACTTACTGATATAGCACGTTTCAACAATTACAATGACCACAATAAACTTATGTTTTAAATTTTTATTTTAGAATACAATTGTGCTGAGTTGTTCTATATTTTTTTTACCCTGTTTTTTAATATTTTTTAAATAAATTTTGAAAAAACCTTTTATCCTGAAATATCATATTACCATTTACAATTATATTATGATTATTGTTTACACATAACACTTAAAAGTTATATGTAAATGTAACAGTACTCGTAATTTTAAAGCCAGATATTTTAGAAATAATCCATGATTTCACTAATATTGAATTACTATACATGATTCAGCAATTACAACCTATATAAGCAAAATTGTATTGCAGTTTTGAAATGAAGGAATGCAATGGAATCCAGAAAAATATTCTGACCCTGTCATGAAAACACTGATTTTGAAAATCATGAAACCTAATTTTGAAATTGTTCATAATGTTAATATACGCTAAGTCTTCGAGATGCGACATTTTTGGTTCCAGAAATTTATGTTGCTTGAGGAGGAAAAAAAATGTATGGAAACAAAAAGTGAATTAGACAAACATTTTATATTATATTCACCTACTTTTTTTAAAAAAGAAGTTACAAAATTTAAAAAATATGAAAAAAAAAACCAAATATATTAACGAAACCAAAAAATTCAATTTTGTAACAAAAATGAATAAATTAACATTTGATTAAGTTGATATGTATAATACTTCAATTCTTGTTTTTAACTACTGACTAGTGTTTTTAACTAGAAAGAATTCATTATTGAAGTATGTGCTTTAGACTTGCCGTATAATTGAATTAAGTATAAATTTTCAATCAAAAATCAGTAAAATCTGTCAACAAATAAAAAAATAAAACATTTTTAACGTCATATCAGGAAAACTTTCATAAACTGTATAAAAATGGCCCAAATTTATATCATGTCCTAACTCGAAATGTCGTATCTCGAGAACTTTCAATGCCGTACTATAGAATTAGCTTGTCTTCCGAAATATAGTAATTTGGTATTAATACACAATTCAGCTTGTAAATATGAATTGCTAAATTGTAGATATACCGTAATACCATGTTACTGAATTTTAGTAATACAGTATTATTACAGTTTAGAAGTCAAGGTTAGTGAATTCAAAATTTAGTGTATTTATTCGAAATTTTTAAACAAATTTTGTTGTTTTCGCTCTCTTAAGTCATAGTCATTTGAAAATATTTTATTCTATAATATGAGTACAGGAAACCTTTTTTTACCATTTTCCAAAATAATTCAATTTATTAAAAATAAAAATATTAAAAATAAAAATTTTTTTCAAAAAATTATAGTAGAATTTTTAAATAATATGAAAATTAAAATTATTTTCTAAAAAGAGTCTTCCCGGATTTTTTGCCTTTTTGTCTTTTTATTTTTTTTTTATTTAATTGAAAATATTTCAACATAGAAACAAAAAAAGCAAAATAATATTTTTAATTTTTTTTCTCATAAATTAAGTTTACAAAAGCGCTAAATACATCCAGGCCTTGATTTTGATTACGTCGAGCTCAAAAGTCAAAAAATATATGTAAACAATATAGACGAAAGGAATACATACATACAAAACTAAACACATACAAAGATAATTTATAAATATTTGCATGTATATGTATGGACAAGATGTACCCTGCAAAAATAAAATAACTATGGGTAGAAAATCTGAATGCTAAATTTATATTATATTACACAAATAATTATACAGGGTGATAATTTGATACAGGTGATACATTTGATTTGAGCCATAGTTTTGGAGGTAAGGCTCGTCATAGTCAAAATTTTTTTTTTTTTTTTTTATTTTTTTTTTAAATCGAAATTTCTCCAAAAACTTGTGTTATTATTTTTTTTGTTTTTTTTTTCGATGCGCTACAATGAGAGCTTAAAGTTAACCAATATAACATTTTTCTCTATCTGTCATAGTTTTGCCAGTAAAATGTATTAAACGTGTTTAAAAACATGCAAAAAATAACATTTCATACTTTTCATAGCATTTATTTATATGCAAGAAAATTTAGTACGTTTTTTTCAACTCGGCTGTAGCTCGAAAACGAGTATATCTGCACCCCCAATCATGTCAGTAATAATTTTGACAACAAATTTGATTGGTTACCTTTTCAATTGGGTAACATTTAGCCTTATCTTATAATTGAATAAGATTATAATACCGCTTCCAAATATACTTAATATTACACACTTAATGCTATGGCCTCTTTGTTTTATAAAAATCATATACGTGAACAATATTAAAACAATGATAATCTTGAGATATCAACAATATCAACAGAAGATGGAAAAGTAAATAGGTTAAATTCATTTTGACATCTATTAAAATCGAATTCGGTCGTTAATAATTCATTCTAATTAGAATATTCAGAAAATTTCTTATTTACTTAACTAGTCTACTGTTCACAAATATAAGAAAATTAAACTGGTTCAAATACATAAGTATTTGATTTATAAAACAGTCGCTTTCTACATCTCGAAATTGTGCATTTTTCGCATATGATTTTTGGATGTATAAAAACTCCTGCAGAATATTCACTCTGGTTTCAACACCTTCTTGCTAATCTAAATCAATATTTGTAATAAAATTATAAGAATTAAATTTCACAATTTTCAAAAATCATAACGGGTCGCAGAATTAAGAGTTAAGGGCTGCGTGTTTGACATGCCTGACCTATAGTATTGTAAATTGAAAATTTATCAAATTTAAATGTCTTTTTTTTAAATCTTTGAATTGTTACAATAAAAATTAACAAAATATAACAGAATTGAGGAAATTCCAAAATGTTTATAATTATTAGATTTTTCTATAATAGCAATCTAATATTCAATCTTCATAGTAGAAACATATTTACATATCTATACATATTATGTTAATACATTTTAAGAGGACTGTAAATTTATTCAAAACGTATACATATGTATATGTAATATCATTATAATAACGCAAGAGAATTATTTCAATTTTACTATTTATAGCTAATACTGCATTTGTATTTACAAGTTATAGACTTATATTGTTGCCTTATTCCAGAAATATTTATTGTATTTATTTAAGTTGAGTATTAAAATTTCATTCCTGCCAATTAGAGGTCCAAAACGAACATGTACATAGGGTAAAAGCTTTTAACAATTACACGTTGGTCGGCATAAACGTATATAATATGTACTTATGCTGATCAGCTTACTAAATTTTCAACTTTCTTCAAATAAAAATCATGAAATATTTTGACAAAAAATAATAAAAGTAGTGCTGATAATAAATTATAATCTACTCAAAAATACAATATATTATTATTATCAATAAATACATTCACTAAATAATAGTCCTTTGCATAAACGAAGTATATCGCGTAGTATGTATGCAAAAACTGCGCTATATTTGTGCTTAAAAGCGAATTATGCTAAACTAACTTGTTCACAAACAATGTTAAGAATATAAGTAGTGCAGTTCAATAATATGATCTGTTTTCATTTTACGGAATTAAAAATGTATTGTATATTCATTCCGTTACATTTTTGAAGTATTGCGTTACGCAATTGTCGTTTTGTATTGCGTTGTATCAATAATATTTGACATTTTATTGATACGAAAAATGATATGTCAATAATATTCGCGTTCCATTTGAACATATAAAACTACAAATAATGAGTTCACCAAAAATTCTTCTAATACCTCGAACAAATGCATATAAAATAACTGTACAGTTACGTTATTTTTTACTGGTAGACGGAAATAGTATTTCTGATTTACAAAATATAAGCATATATGTTCACGAATAGCTTGAACATGTTAATGAAACGTAAATAATATCATCGTTTATCTTATGCATTATTTTTTTTAGATTTTTATTTTCAATATTGCCATTTCTGAAATGTTTTCTTTCTCTATAAGGATTTAATCAAAAACTATATAATATACAAGAATCAGCACTTTTTGTTTTTACACAACATTTTTTGATTCTTTTACACAACATTTTATAATTTTCGACCGATTTCACACACAATCTAAGAAATTGTGCTGATTTTCCAAAATTTTGCCCCGTACCAATAACGTTACATATTTATTTCGTACACCGCTTATTGAGCGGGTACATTTTGTTTAAAAAAAAATTAAAAAAATTAAACAGAAAAAAAACAATAAAAAAAATCAAATATAAAAATTATTTTAAGAAATTGTTGTTGTACAACAATTTGAAATAGAAAAAAAAAATTATCTTTTTGTTTATTTTTCTTGTTGGCTGGTTGAGTTTTTTTTTTGTTATTTTTAAATACAAAATGCATTTAACCCTTAAGGAACTATTTATAATAATTCTCTCTAGCCCACACACTAAAAAAGAAAAAAAAGTCATGTTTTTCAATGAAATATTTTGAGAACAAAAAAAAAATTAACGAAAATGTGATTATTAAGAAAAATTTTCAATTTCTCCCAATAAATTAACTTAAACAAATTTTCTTTGTTTTCTTGACGTTTACTTTGAAATATTTTAAGTTTTCTATATTGATAAGTGGCCCCTTTCTCACCATCGTCATCAAAGCAGGCACTTAAATATTATAAACAATTTATGACTTCGAGATTACATAACACCAAATCACAGTAATTAGGGAAGTAAAAGAACTATGAAGTATTATTAATTTTATGCTTGTTGAATAGCCTTTTATTCCATTTTCCCAGCAAATGTCTAAAAATGCTATTATGTCCAACACCACCAAAGTTATTTTAATACTACTTTTAAAGTTAGCCAAGGAAATTTTAGGTTTTTGTGATCTATTTGCATCTTACAAACAAAGTTCTACTCACTATTATATAAACATATATATACCAATATATGGACACTCTATATAATAAAAATTTAAGACTATATCAAAAAATGAAATATATTTTGTTTGGGATATTTAAATAATTTTTTCAAAAAAAGATTATTTTCGAAAGCTCAGACATGAAGTTCTAACTTTCACCTATAATCATTATCATATATTTAATATCATAACATCATACTTACTTTCGTCGAAAGTATTTTAAACCTTTACGTGACTTGATAAGTTCGTTTAGTGTTGCGAGTGTATTTGACAATAGTGTTAATATTTAGGAATGCGCTGAGTCTTTTTTCACTAGGTTCTTTGAATATTTCTATGAGACTTCTTCTATTGTTGTTGATAATTGTGCTACATTCTCTTTGGTATGCAGCCGAGCTACGTACCCGTTATTATCCTTGCTATAAGGACCTAGAGTTCTGTAACAGATTTTAAACTGAATAATTTCGTAAATGAATAAAACTTAAGTTAGACGATTTATTCTGAGAGTGATTGTTAACAAATGTCTTGAATTAAGTGGGCAAAAGAGTTTACTGTCCTCTACGTTAGGACAAATTAAAAAAAACTTAAGGTTGGTACAGTTGTCCAATATTCGTCATCACAATACGGATTGTAGTTAAAATGAAATGATATGGATTATGCTAGAGTTGAGCCGATATTGCGTACGCTAATTATAAATTAACAAGTTTTCCGTAATTTAAAATCATTAATAAAAACGTAAACTTGAATTACAAATTTTTTATACTTTTTTGCATAAGATTCTTGAATCCTTCTCAAGTGGTACTCCTTTATTAAAATGTGCAAATCTAACATCATTTTTGCATTATTCAACAAATACAATTTTAAACACAGATTACACATAATTATTATATAAAGTTCATTTAATTGTTTCTTAAAATTATTTAAGTATAACAATTGAGTGTTATGTACAGCGATTTGGGTATTAGAGTGAGAAACACTTATACTTAGATCCTTAAACTCTTCTGAAATATTAAAATCAAAAACCGTAACCTATAAATAACAGTATATACTTTATGACAATACAATTCAACAATTAGAATTTGTAAGTAAAATTATGTTATAATAAATTATTAAGGCAAAATGTTATCGAAGAAAGACTATTTTACCAAAATAAATAAAAAAGGTATTAATGAGCTTTAGTATTGAGATATTTCTTGAAAAAAATAATTTCAATTTATTTGATTTCCATACCAGTAGAAAAATAACTGACAGAAGAAAATTTTTAACATAGACAATTATTCAAAAAAAGTGTGCCTATCTAATGCTTACATTGTTTTTCTTTTACAATTAGCAATTCGATGCGCAATTTTAATAAAATTTTCATTACATTGCTAATATTAACGAAACTCAAAAATTACATTTTAGTTACTTAAATTTTGAAAATACAGAAAATTGCAATTAGTCGACAAGAACAAAACACGAAAAAAATCCTAGCTCTGCCTGACAATTTATTCAAAATTTTTCAATCTTCACTTAAGAATTTAAAAAAATAAAAATTTCTTTATTTCCCTCTTATTTTTTTTAAGTTAATTTCTCTTTTCAAAATTAAGTAACAGGAAAATAACAACAAAAAAGAAAAGGAAAAAAATCAAGAAAAAATTCTTTTATTTTGTTTTTCCATGTATTTTTTTGTTTTTTTTTTTTTTAATCTTTTTACATTTCAACTCAGAGTCATTTTTCAGTTGACTCGCAGATTCTTTAACAAAAACACACGCTAAAGATTCAGCTTTTTTTGTTTTTGTTTTTCTTTCTAATTAAAAATATTTAAGAACAAACAAAAAAAATAGATAAATCTTTTTTTTTTATTTGTTTTTAGAAAAAAAAAAAACATTTTTTAAAAAAACAAAGAAGTAAAAAAATTGATCACAAAATTTGAGTTTCAACTATTTTTTTTTGTTTCTTCTTCAAAAAGAACATCAGTTCTGTTAAAAAAAAAAAAATTATTAAAAATTTAAAGAATTCAAATAGTTAAAATTTTTTTTTTTTCATTGGGTTTTAAGACGTTACACTGTGTAAGTTTAAAAAGAAAACAAAAATAAATCAAATTATAAAAATAATTTCAACAATGCTTTAACTTCAATTGTTTTGTTCAGCTTTTTATTTCCTTTATTACATATTAACAATTTTGCCTTAATTTCTTGTTTAAATAATAAAAATTTACCGATATCATAATACCTAATATCATAATTGCAACAATATTTCATGTGGCTAGAATTGTGAACTTTTTTGACTTATAATATACATACATACTTTACCAGTTGACAATAAATTATTGACATGGAGTATGCAAAAAAACCAGTTGCATATCAAATTTGCTGGGTCATAATTTTGAATTTTTTGAACTAAACATAATTTTGAAGACGCATACATATACATATATTTGATTTTCAAAACTTTTCACTAAGAAAATTATAAAAATTTTCAAATTTCGTGAAGTTTAAGATAAAAAGTTAATAAATATGTAAAGTAAAAGCGCTTTTAAATTTAAATTGTTTAGAAACATTGACAAACAAAATTATGTCAACTGAAATATATAGTATACACACTTATATATATATGTATATATACTATAACATTTAGTTAACGTAAAATTGGCAATTTGTAGACCAATGTAATTGACAAAGAATTTTATTTACATACCTACATATGTTTGCTAATCAAAATTGCAAACTATACAAATATTTAATGTTTATATGAGAGTTATGAGCATAAAGATTATATTACTACAAAATTCAACAAATAGCAAGATTTACTCAGCAAGATTTACTCGTATGTTAGAAATAAATAAACGCAGAATTAAGAATAAATGAAAGAAAAGTTCATCTGAAAAAAAGTGTGTAATTTTAAGTGAAATTCATACAAAAGATCAATTAAACAAGGGGAAAATAACAATTTCGGGTAAATAAATTGCATTGTATTTTATAATGGAAACGATAAAAAAATAAAAAAAAAAACGATAAAAAACAGACCGATAAACATTTCTGTACAATAAAACCAAAATTGGGAAATAAATTCTAATTCGATTGGATATTAAGTATTGGATTAAAAAAAATTAAGAAATCGTCTTTCTTGGCGGCAAATGGGTTCATTTTGGAAACCTTACTTAAAAAATAATTAAATGTTTGTCTTCAACTGTTTGTAATTTTGTTGTCATCTACAAAAATAATTAAAAATCCGGAATAAAAAATAATTCAAGGGCCAATACACAAATACGAGTATTAGCGATCCAAACCAAACAAAAAAAAAATAGATAAACTATAAACTCTAACAAAATATTTCAAGCAATTAAATTGAAAAAAAACTGTGTAAAAATTTCATAATTTTATTCAATTAAATTCATATTATTGTTTCTAGTTAAATTCATTTTTACAATAATCTAAAATATATTCTTAAGTGCTAAAACTTCTTTACAACTTTGCTTTTTTGATTTTTGTTTGGCTGACATTTTATATTTATGGAATATGTAATTATATTGTAGAAAGAACTCAAAAACCTAATTATTATGATTTTGTATATTATTCAAAACTTAGAGCTAAATTTAACCTATTTTAACTTATTTTTATAATAATTTGTGGCTATTTGTCCAATGAAAAAAAAAATATAAATCTCATAAAAACATAATTACTTAATTATTTTCTTTTTCGGAATTTGATTTTTTTATAGTATAAATAAACTACAACATTTTATAGAACGCTATAAATAAAAATTTATTTGATTAAAATTAGTCATTCGAAATGATTGCTAAATTTTTCTGAAATCAACTTTTTTTAAGTTCGTTCAATATTTGCTAACTTCAAAATTAAAATTATACTGTATTGTTACACAATTCAGTAATTGATTGACTCAAACAGCAAGCTGAATTGAAAATTAATTCAGCTTTAATAAAATTTTGATATTCAAATTATCATTAAGATAAACAACAGTAGAATTGCCTTATATATTAATGTATTGCTATGCAACACAACTTATAATTACTAATGCCGAAGAGAAAAATCGTTTGGTGTCTGAAACAAGCTGAAAAAAATTTTTTAATATTATTTCACAAAAAATATAAAAGCTTAGTTTCTTAAGAATTGTACATGTACCTTAATATGAACAACATTGTTACATATTTTTCCAAAAGTTGTAACAAATACATGACTTTAAGATTTGCAGAGGTAATATTAAATTATATTATTAATTGCTGAATCTTGCAGTCTTGCAATATAACTGCAACGTCATTTTCAGGAACAGTATAGTTGTCTTAAAAACTACAGTAATACAGTATTTATACAAGATGCAGCTCATAAAAAGTAATTACTTAATTGTATACCAAAACAATATTAACGCAATTTTCAAATCATCGAGTTGCTATTTTTATCTAATAGATCCCGATTTTCTACACTCCTACATGCAAATACAATAAATAAAGCATTTTATTTTTATTTAAAAAATGAAACCGATTTTAAACCAAATAAGTTCGGCAAGTAATATCTTCTTCAATTTTTATTTAAATTATTATGATTAATCAATCAACCAAAACACTGATTGCAACGATCTTAACAACCTTCTAATTATGAGACTATAGCACTACTTACCGGGCTACTCAGCATTTTCCCAGTGCTACGGGCCAAAAACAAAAATAAATTTGGATCGAACCAATGGTTTATAAAGTTGAATTTTTGCATCGAACTCAACGTCTAAAAGGAAAACAATATCAAAAATTTGAAAAAAACCCGGTTTTAGATAAAGATTTATTTTTAAACGACCATTTTGTCATTGTATTATTTGACTATGCCTTATCGGGGTAGAAAAGCCACAGTCACTACTTTCCTGCGATTGCTGAATTTCAAAAAAGGCTAGTGATTTCAATACAATAAATATTAAAAAATGTCATTTTTAGGAATTTGAAAAATTATAACTTTTAAAGCGGGAGGGGGGGAGGGTTCTCTTTGTGTCTATAAAATTTGAGCTGTCTATCTTAAAAGTACCATTTTTTTTTTTTTTGGAGAAATGCTAAAAAATATCGCAGGAAAATGCAGTGAATTAATAATTGTTAATAAAGTAACTAATTTATTTAAAGTTTCCATATGTCAATTTAATGTCATAATCAGAACTTCGCCGCTACTCTGGATATATAAACTGCCCGTCAATTTAAAGTAATTGATTTCAAGTAATTGTTTTACGAGTCATTATTAAAAATTCTGTTACTTACTGCAATTTTAAAATCGTTGTATAAAAATACATATTAGGTTTTGTATACTGAAATCAGATTTAACATCAACTTGACATATTCATCAACACAATTTTAATTTCCAAGTAAGCAAAATTGACACTTGATCTAGTGTTTCGTAAAATCGATCAAAGTTATATAAAATGCGTTTATACATTTACTTATACGATTTCGTATACGATGAAATAAAACAAAAAAATACAATTTTTGTGTATACAATTCACGCAAATAAAATAAATAAAATTGAATTAAAAAATTGTTGCATAATAGCATTTTGTGTGTGTTCTTGAACAAAAAATACAAAAAAAAAAAGAGAAAACTACGAAATTTCCTTTTTGCAAAATAATTCATTAAGAGGCCTAAATTTAGAATTTAAATGAAATATGAGAGAGCAAAATAGCACAAAAAACTTAAATGAAACAAAATAAAAGGAGAAATCATAGCTCGAAAACATACACAAAAAAACATGGACCATACAAAATCGCTTTAATTTTAAATTTACTGCATTAAATTTCTAATAAAATAAAAAAAAATGGTGAAATTTTTATGTTTGTACTAATTTATCGGATTTTTGTGGTATCAAAAAAAATCGTTCTTATTACAAAAATATAAGTGTAAAATATTTATAAACAGTGTATAACTTATTATATGAGTCAAACTATATGAGTGCTGCGAAAGTAAATTATTTTATTTTTTGCAAGCATTTCACTTAACATTTTATCAACTTATAAAAAGCTGAAAATTATTACTGGCATGCGAATTGAAATAGTAGTGAAACGGTATAACTATAAAGCTCAGAAAAAGTATTGATGATTCCCATGCCTGTCTCTCTCGTCATGTAACATACTGAAATGACTTCACATTGTTATGTAAAAAATAACTGTCAAGTCTCCAGTACTGAAGTAATAAAAAAGTTTTTAATTAAGTGTCGATAATGCATTTAAGCTTTATTTCTTACTTCAAACTATACTCCCAAATATCAAATTACAACAACACTTCACTAGTATTTATTTCAGTTCATTTATGCTAAATGTGTAAAATACAGCATTACTGCAATTCCGATTTTAATGATACTTGTAGGGTCGGTGTTCAATAAAGTTGTGGAACGAAAATTATAGATCTTTTCGGCGATATCCCGCGTTCCGCGTGCAGTAAAAAACGAGAAAAAATAAAGTTTACCTTGTGAACTCTGTGATACCCGTACGAATTTGTTATTCTATGTGAGAATAAATATGCCATAACTGACTATGGGACAGACTATGACTTTAAGTTGCCGTATTACCATATTAATTTATGCAAAATTTCAGTACTGTTTTTTTTCTAAAATACTGTGTGTGCAAAACTACTATTGAATTTGTATGACAACTACCAGAAAGAGCCAAGCAATTTTAAGGAATTTTATAAAACACAAATCCGCCCTACTAATATATTAGCTTGTGTTACATCAATATTACAGCTTTTATAGTTTCTGAGTCAAATAACTTTTGAAGTTGTACGGCAGCTACCAGAAGGAGCCAAGCAATCTCAACGACTTTTATCAAACACATTGGCCCTGCTAATATATTGGCTATGAATAAATTATTTAAACAATCTCAATTGTTTTGTAATACAACTTTTCCTGACTCTATTACTAAACAATTCAGCTAAAACGTTAATTTCTGGATTGTGTGGTTAAAGTAATATTTTAATATTAAAATCCGATATTTTCTTATTTGATTTAATTATTAATTTTTATTTAAAACTGTTAGCAATTATCACTTTAAAACAGAATTCTGTAGTAACAAAGAATATAAATGGAATTTTTATGCCAAGATTATAATATTTCACTACAATTTTATAATTCAACAATTCAACTAGGGTATTCTAATACTACAAAGTCTTCTCATGTTGTAATTATAAATTTCCTTATTGATAATTAAAAGAAGTTTACATTAAGGGTTATGTTTACGTAAAAACAATATGAAATACACTGAGTTTTTTTTAAGGAAATCAAATGTTTCTTACACAATTTGTTCATTTTAACCTCAAAGTGTTAAATTTGTAAATATAGACAAACGGCGAAAAACGAACAAAATGAAATTAAAAAACACACATTTTACAGTTGTTTCTTTTTTTTGGAAATATGCTAAAAATAAATTTTAAATAACGACCGCTTTGACAATTTTTTCAACAAATAAATTTTCTATTTAAAAAATTAAAATAAACTTTTTTTTTATCTAAGAGGGAACAGAGAAAAGAGAAAACGAATATAAAAACAATTTTGAGAGAACAGAACAGAATATGAGATTTTAAAAATTTTTCAGAAGTTTGATGTTTTGTTTTTTTTTTTTTTGTTTTTATCAAAAATAATTTTTCCTTATTTATTTTTTCTTATAAATTTCCTTACGATAATGGATTTTCAATTTTCAAAATTTTTATTGAAATTATATAAAAAAAAAACTAATTTTTAATTAGTTTTTCTATTTTTTATTGTCTATACAATGGCAATTCGTTCGTCATCGATAGAAGGAGACGTCATCTGATTTTGATTTAAATAGGCGCCAAATCTTATTTCATTATTTTATATATTTTATAACAATTATAATCCATTTTTTTTTGAACAAATATTTCAATTATTTTTCCATTTTGTAATTTCTGGTTAAATCTCTTTTAAGTATAAAAAAATCATTTTATATTTTTTACTTGTTTCTTAAAAATTTTTAAAAATTTAGAATTTTAGGATAACTTCAATACACTGAGTTTTTATAATTAAGCTATTATAAAATATAGAAATAATATCAATGTAAATATCTCAAATTCTACTAATGCAATATTACAAAAAATTATTGTCTAGATTAGTGAAAGTATTCCAGAAGATTATGAAAATGCGTTTCAAACACTTTTTTACAATTTTAAAGACTTTAATAAGCTTTTAGTTTAAATATAGTGAAACATACGAATTTGGCTCTTAGGAGAGCTTCATTTTGTGCTTTCTGAATTATACGAAATGTTCGCAGGTTATTTTCGGTAACAACCAGAACTCAAATATCAAATTTCAGGAAATTCAATCAATTCGTTCTGCAGATATTGTAAAAAATATAAAATTGGTCCTCAGATCAGTTTCCGAGCTCTGATCTTTGCAGTTACCAAGGCCTGATACATCTCAAAAGTTGATCAATACGTGCCATAGTCGAAATAAACTTACATATAAAGTTTCATCGAAATCGGTCTAACCGAACTTGAGATGCACGCGTGCACACACAAACCGACAGACCGACAGCTTGCTAAAACTAATTTATTTATACTTCCCTAAGTCTGAGATAAAACTTAAAAAAAATTTAAAAAGAGAAACAGTGACGTAATTTCTCGCAAAAAGAAAAAAAAATCTTATTTAAAAAAAAGAATTAACGAGAGGGAAAACTTAAAAAACTTTTAAAATTGGTAATTTTCTTTATTTCATTTTATTTTTAGTTAAAAAGTTTTTGAAAATTTTGATGAAAAAATTGATTATTGTGGATGAAAAAATTTTGAATGATGAAAGTTGCAGTTGTCGAAATATAAGCTTTATATTTCGATAAACAGACAATTTTAATTAACAAAACTTGAAAGAATTTTAAACATTGAGTAAATGAAAATTTCTTAATTTTGTCTCATTTTAGTTCAAAAATATTATCCCTGCATGCAAAAACTTTGTAAAATTTTTTCAAGTTTTATAAAGTTTTTGAAAACTTTCTTACACCAGACAAACCTAAAATGGGCGCGACTATTTTGGTCGGACACAATTATATACAATATATATAAAAAATTACTTCGTCGTTAAGTTTGGATACGTTCTTGATACGTTGATTTTGGTAGGCACATCGTACTAGACTATCTTCCAAAATGATAATTCAACCTACAGATTCGTTCTTGCAGTTCCACAAAAATCAAAAATCCACAGTTTGAAGAATCTTAAAGAACTTTTTCTCATCGTTATTTTTTAAAATTAATAAAATACTTAAACTTTTTTAACATTTTATCGCAATTTATACATACATGCATATCAAATATTTCTAACATCAAAATTGCAATAATAATACTTAATATACTATAAATTTAAAACTTACAAGGTAAATAGTATATTATCGCAATATTACTGTAATTTTGAAATCAGGGCATACATACATATATATAATTTTATTTCTGCTATTTTTTTTCTGCTTAATTTTAAAAAATGCTTAAAAGTTAAAAAAGAAAAATTTAATTTTCTATTAAGTTCGAAAAACCAAAATTTTAACAACAAAACAAAAATACAAAATCTTTTTTTTTTACATTTTTTACAGGTGGTGATTGGTCTTGAACTTCCCTCTTACACTACTCCCAAGCACAATAATTTGTTTTTTTTTTTCCCTGAACATGTATTTATGTGTATATATGAAATATTTATAGTTTATACATTAATTAAAAATTAATTTAATAAAATTTGTAAAACCACAGTAGCAATTTCATATAGGAATTTATTTTTGAATTGATTTCAAAAATTTAAACAATAATTTGATCTAAAACAGGTATATCAGGGTATATCAATATCTGAATCCTGTAATGTAATTATAATATTGAATTTTTAATTTCAAGCATTTTTAAAGTACACTATTTATTTTGCATGCATGCATGCATATATGAAATTTTAATAATCAAAATTATTAAATATAAGTAAATATAAGTAATCGAAACAAAAATTTAAAATTGAAAACTTTAAATATTTAGTGGTTTCTGCAACATTTAAAAATACATAATACATAACGAGTTTTACAATTTCCAATAAATATACAATTATTTTTACTTAACGACTACTTGTTTTTGTGTTGTCATTAATCAAATATGTGGTTGTCAGTCCTATTTGTTGTAATCATTAACAATTGTAAATTTTATTTCAATGACAATTTCTTAGGAGATTAAATATTAAAAAAAAAAGTAGCCCCTTCTTCTTATAAGTATGCTCATATATTTTTGGCAATTATTTAATTTGTCAAAAAGAAAAATAATGAGATAATAATAAAAGAGATTTTCATAAACGCAATACTGCAAAAACATAACGGGATAGATATACAATATATTTCAAAGCAGTTTATATATAATTTAACAGCATCAACCATTAAAGAAATGCAAAAGAAATAAAAACTAAAATAATAAACAATTTCGTTGGCAACCAATGTATTATGAACGTGTTGGTATATTGGAATTTATGATGCGTTAGAATTCATATGGCTAACATCAGTTGTACATTTCTAATCTACTAAGAAAAGACCTAATGTTGCATTTTGATGCTAAAAATTAACTATGAGCAGAGTTCTACGGATATCAAATATCGAAATTGCTTAATATTAAATAATCATATAACCCAAATATTAGTATATTAATACACATATATATACATAAATATATATTTATATGCAAAATAACTTTTGACAAAAAAACTTTTTTTTTCCAATTATATTTTATAAAAATTATAAATAAGTATTACATACATATATATTAATATATATATACACTCTGATATATATATATAAAAATATATACATAGATATTATACAAAAATAAATTAAAAATAAGTAAACGACGCTAAAAAATTGAAAAAAAAAATCGACCAAAAAATAAAAAAAAAAAAAGTTTAATTTGAAAAAAGGAGGAAATTTTTGATCTTCAAAATGGAGGTTTCTGAAACATCTGATAACTCTGGTGTTCAAAAGAGCTCTGAAGCGATTTCTGAAAGCTCTCAAGAGGTGAGATATTAGAGTTTTGATTTCTTTTTTTTTTTTGTTCCCTTATTTTTTGCTGCAATATTTTTTCTGCTTTTAAGTAATCTTCTCTTATGCCATGGGAATTTAATTTTACTTTATGTATCATTTTTTTTAATTTTTAACCATTAAAAAAATCCAAAAACTCGCACGCAGCATAATTCAGCTAATACTTGCCTGAATTGCGTTAAGGTAAAACAATGTTAGATGTTATATAACAAAAATTTCATTATTTAAGTATTTAAAAAAAAAAAAAAAAATTATTACCGAAATTTTCGTTTTCCATATATACTTTTATGCTTAATTTCGCTGATATTTTAATGCCAAAAAAACCGTATATTTTCTTTGCTAATACATTTTTATTTTTATTTTATTGTTCGTTTTTAATAAGAACAGGCTTAATATTTTGCCAACAACTTACGCAAATTATTCCTTTCATGATTTTCTTTATTTTAAATTTTTAAGTTTCCAGCTTAAATAAATTTGCTTACAAAAATGAAAATAAAAAAAATCAAATGCATTTTATTTTCCCATTCAATACTTAAATATTAAATTAACAGCCTAATTGTGTACCTCGCTTTTCATCTCATTTTTATTCACTTACAAATAAGAATTCTCCATTTTTCTAATGGATACATATTTATAATGAATTTCAAATTATCGACTGAACGTCTTCCTTCTTCTGAACCTTCAAAATCAAAGTGAATAAATTTTGTATAAATTTTAGAACAAGATTAGATACACAATATAGAATAAATCTTCTCACATAATACAAATTTGTAATAGTTACTCGCCTTCTTCTCATTTGGCGAGTAAAATACCGAGTTACACAATCAGGCTCTAAACAATTTTTATTGCACACAATATCATAATGAAAGTCTTTATTTAAAATAATTATTTAAAAAACAAATAACAAAAAGGAAAAAGTATCCATATCCTGACTTCAAAATTACAGTAATGCATTAATACACAATTAAAGTTTCATTTGTGTTCTTATTACATATTAAATTGTGTATTGATATCATATTATTGCAATGCTTAAGTAAAGGATACTTAGTGATTTACTTAAACTAAAAGGGAGTTTCCTTTTCATACACCAAATAAAATTTTTATATTTCGGAAAAATGTTGATATTTTCATTAAAAATTCTTTTGAATTATGAAGTTTTGTTATTTTCGCACATTTGAGAACTTTAGTGTTGGAATTCAAGTGACGGACGCAAAGACTTTCAAACAATATTCATATTTGTTAAATTTACGATATAGTTACGCAAATTGTTATTTAATATTATACATATAAATGAGATATTTTCTTGCTTCAAACTTTAGTTTTTACTGTTAGATAATATTATAACAATGTACTTAGTTTATTACATTTCATTAAAAAGCATTATACTAAAAAAGTTTTTGTCATATATTACAAAACGTTTGTTTAAATATTATATAATACAAAATTTAAATATTCAGCAGGGGATATTATTAAATAAATAGAGTTGGGACAAACCAATGGTTTGTAATTTAGCACTTCTCCTTCAACAAGTGAAAATATTGCTTTTATGAACAATCAGCTACTTTCATTCATATACGAATATATATAAAAAATTGCATACCTTTTGGGACGGACAATGTATTCAATCAGTTAAATAAACTAAAAGAGAATTGAAAAATGTGTAAACATAATGTTCGAACTTAACGGTTATTTGCGTGAGTTAAGAAAAATAATGATATTTTTTAATGACATGCCATTTACCGGTAGCTTTCTGAGTTTATAAAAATTTGGAAAAGCTTACTGTTTTGGAAATACAAGGTGCCAAAAATTCAAATATTGCAAATTTCAAGAGACAATAACTTGAGAGGGGGTGGAGGTAGAAAAAAAAATTTTCCAACCAAATTAACTAGTTATTAGTGTCTAAAAGCTGCTAAAATATCAGACTCCTAAAGCATTCGGTCGTATGTAGATGTCCAGTAGGAAACTATTCACTTTAAATATTGGGTATTAATTTCTATCCTTGTACATAATTCGATAATAGACTTTCTGGTTGGAGTTTCAAAAAAAATCCCCTATATTGTGATAACGCTGAAGTTATTTTCCCTAAAAGTAAAGAAATAAACGGATAGAAAAACTATCTTAATTTAAATTATGAATTAATAAAAACAATTAAAATGATGACGGAAAATAATTTTTAGAGCGATAAAACTACACCTACTTAATTTACAACTTGCGTTACTTACATCAGTGCTTTTTTCCAATAAGAATTATGCAAAACGCGCGAAGTTTGATAAAATAATTAAGTATCTGTAACCTGTTTTATAAAATATAAGTAGCTATTTTTAGACGACAACGGTTGCATTAATTCGCCGGCAGTAGTCTAGCCTAAATCCATATATTGCCGTTGGTGATTTGTTTTACATCATATGTTTGCATTTGTTTGTTACTTTATAGGCAAAATGCTAAACATTTGATTATAACGTTCCGCTTGTTCTGGGTTAACAACGGAAATAGTCTGCCGTTGCCACTCACCCTTTTTTTTTTACAACTAGTATGTAGCTCAACGTAAGTTAAAGCAAAAAGAAAAAGTAATACTACTTGGATGCTACTCTTATATTTTTTTATTTTGATAATATTTCCTTTGTTTATTTTGTCCTTATTTAGTTTTTAGATTTGTTGTAAAAAGGCCTTTTTATTAGGAAAACTTTTTTTAACACTATCACATTGTAGTTCTTAGTATACATATACGGCCATAGGAAAGACAGAAAACATGAGATAAACGTAACTACGTAAACACTTTATAATTTGTGCCCTAATTTGAAAAGCCCAAAAATTCAAAGATGTGATGTTAAACAGTAGACGTGTAAGGCTTAAATTTTTTCCACCCAAAATAGCTGGAAAACCATTAAATTTCCATTTTTAGATTCTGCTAGATTACTTCATGGATAAGAGAAGGCTATTCTTTTCAATTTTTTTTAGTTATATTTAATTTCTTTATCTTTAAGGTTAACTTCTTTCAATCATGTCTGTCCGACATTTGGTTTGCCAAGATGCAGTTTTACTGCAGTGCCTTAGAAGCCCGCTACACATCAGATTTAATCTACGTTAAAACCTAAATCTGATGAAAATCTTATGTTTAATCGAAGTTAGACATCAGATATTATCTGAAAAAAGAATGGCAACATATCCGATTATCATCAGATTTGCTGTCAGATTTTTAAAAATAACATGACGAAAAATAAATATTTAAAATTGTTTTGCCACTTTTTTTTTTTTAAAAAAATTATAATTTTTGCGTGTTTCTATTTCAAGTTTTTAAAACTTAACAATTTTGATATTAAAATGAAGTTTGAAGTATTCTGAGCAACATATCAAATTTCAACTCGAAATTTTATCTATAATTTGGATTAAGTATATTTTCGAGTTTTTACGCATTTCTTTGAACTACCATGTCAAGAAGCAAGACAATTTCAATACCACAGCTTTTATAGTTTCCAAGATATAGTCAAAGCTAAATCAACTCATAGTTCGACGTTGATTAAAAACTTACACTTGAGTCCATATCTCAGAGCATTATTTCTTAGCGTTACAAACGGTAAGGCAAATTTAGTATACCCTTCGAGCATACGTTCGTTCAGGTATAAAAAATATGTAGAATCCGTAGAGCTAAAAATGAACATTTTCCGACATCACTTCCATTTAAACTGCATATAAATTGGAAATTTATTTTTGAGTTACTGTCTGGACCTGGTGGCTTGATAGGTACATATATATGGCATTAGTCCAGACCTTGATATTTTTGTTATGTTAAGGTCAGAATTTAAGTAATTTAAATTATTTTGGTTTCGTGATTAACAATTTCAAATTAAAATTTTTACTCACACGCTCAAATTCAAATTAATGCCCAAACACGCCCAAACACAAAATTTCAAATTAAAATTTTTACTCACTCAAAGTGAGAACTGATGAAAAATACTGGTGTTTATTTGAACTGTTAACTTTAGAACTTTGCAGCGATGTTAAGAATAATAAATTTTGGTCAAACCAATGGTTCTTTTCCCTTCAACAAATGATACTGCTTTTAAATGCGATCTATGTATACCTTCCACACTATTAAAATTATTTTCATTCATACAAGAAACTATTTCTAGGATTGCATATAGTTAGGATGAGTGATTTATGTAGTCTTTGAAATAAAGCAAAAATAAAGCTCGATTTTAAGGGTTAATTGTGTGAGCTAAGAAAAATGATTATATTTTTTAATGTCATAGAATTTACCGATAGCTTTTTGCGTTTATAGAAACTTGAAAAAGCTTGCTGTTTCGGAAATATCCTTATGAAAATCGCCAAAAATTAAAATTTTACAAATTCCAAGAAACTTAAAAGGGGGTGGAGATGGAAAAAAGATGCCTAAAAACGGATATTAAATAATGTAAATTTGAACAGCCATTTTGTTTTTTTAATGTTTAGCTATATTGTGCCGCTATTTAGGTTTTCAAGCGGGTATAATTTTTAAAGGCGGGAGTAGGTAAAAATTTTACCCTACGGAAATAAATTTTTGGTAAAGATCCATGTACATATAAAATTGCAGCTTACTATCTTCAAGGGTGTAGAAGTTTTGTAAACATGTCCACGGACGGACGGACAGAGTGAGACTAATAAGCACTTTTTTCAAAAATTTTTTCGAAAGTGCTAAAAATGTACAAAGGCCCAATACCGGTTAAAAAACATTTTTTTTAATTTAATATTTATTGACGTTTCTTTTCATTAATAATTTTTTTACAGTTTAAGATAAACTTGTGTAAATGAGTATTTTCAATGATTTTCGTACGTTTTTTTTACAATTTTTCGCAGCTATCGAAAAATCGAAAGCATAATTTTTTATAGAAAAACTTTATCTTGAATTCACCTGTGATGTAATTATATATAATTCGTAATTATTTTATGATATCAAAGAAAAGTACAAACTCGATAATACATTCTTAAAACGAAAATTT